AGGTCATTGCCTTTGACATTATCCACTTATCTTAATCAAATACCCCCAATTTTACTTGTACTCATGTCTAATTACTTCTACAAAATTTTATCACGTGGGCAGTTGAATGCATGTACCCACACACTCCAGATACTGAGTAGCTCCATTTCACAAGGGTTCTTCATTCTGCTCTTTTATAACTCACCATCCTCCTTCTTGTTCCACATTTCTAATGTCAAAATTTTTTTCATTCCAAGTTTTATCTAAATGGACTCATACATGTGTAACCTTCTGTGATTGACTTTTTTTTTTTTAACTTGGTGTAATTTCCTAAATACTCATCCATGTTTGTTGTGTACACTGAGAACTTGGACTTTTTGTATGTTTTTATATCACCGAGTAGTATTCCATGGTGTGTATGTGCCAGAATTTGTTTAACCATCCACTTGTTGAAGGACAACTGGGTTATACCCATTTTTTAGTTATTATAAACAAAGTTGCAGTGGACATTTTCCTGTTGGTTTTGAAGTGAAGGTATATTGTTACTTCGTGGGGTAAATGCCCAGGAGTGGGTCATTGTGTTAATTGCATGCATAATTTTATAACAAACTACCAAGTTGTTTCTCAGAGCGATTCTTCCAATTTGCATTCCCACCAGCACACTTCAGTGACTGAAACAGTGATTTCTAGAACTTACCCTCACCCTGCCAGCCCTTGGAAACCACTATTCTATAATGTCTGTCTATGGACAACACTGGAATTCAGGATGCTAAATTCCAAGTGCACTGTCAAAAATCCAACAATAATTTTTGAGTCTTTCCAAGCTTAGCTACTAGAGCCTGCTGTTGACCAGAAATCTTACTGATGACATATGCAGTCAGTTAACACGTATTTTATATGTGTAAATGTATGATATACTATATTTTTATGATAAAATAGACTAGGGAAAAGAAAATGTTATAATATATTTTTTTAATTTTATTTTTATATTCTCCATAAAATAGCAACCCCCTTATTTTGACCCCATCCCTCCTTTCCCCACCCGACACCCCATTAGTGTGTCTCTGGTTCATAGTTGTTTGTTGATTTTTTTCTTTCTTATAGCTATTCTTTTTCCTGCTCCCTTATTTAGGTTTTCTAGATTCCTGCTATAAGTGAGACTATCCAGTATTTTTCTTTTTCTTTCTGGTTTATTTCGCTGAGCATGATCCCTTCCAGCGCCATCCATGTTGCTGCAAACTGCATGTGTTTATCTTTTTTGAATGCTGAGTAATATTCCATGGTGTATATATACCACATCTTCTTGATCCGGTCATCAATTTTTGGGCATTTGGGTTAGTTATTGTAAACAGTGCTGCTATAAACATAGGGGTGCAGGTGCTCTTTGGAATTAATGTTTCTGTGTCCTTTGGTTAAATACCTAGGAGTGGAATTGCTGTATCATATGGAAGCTCTATCTTTAGTAGTTTGAGGAATCTCCACACAGCTCTCCATAGTGGTTGGACCAGTTTGCACTCCCACCAGCAATGCAGGAGGAGAGTTCCTTTTTCTCCACATCCTCACTAACATTTGTTGTTGCTAGTTTTTTTAATATGTGCCATTCTCACTGGTGTGAGATGGTGTCTCATTGTAGTTTTACATAAGACCTGAAACCATAAAATATATAGAAGGAAATATAGGTGAAACACTACATGACATGCACCTCAAAGACATCTTTACAGACACATCACCCAAAGCAGTGATAGTGAAGGCAAAGATAAACAGCTGGGACTACATCAAATCAAAGAGCTGCACAGCAAAAGAGACAATAACCAAAACAAAGAGAAATCCCACCGACTGGGGGAAAATTTTTGCACACAACACTATGATAAAGGACTGATCACAAAAATCTACAAAGAGCTGATGAGACTCAACAAAAACAAAGAAATTAATCCAGTCAAAAAATGGGCAGAAGAGCTAAAAAGAAACTTCCCCAAAGAGGAAATACAAATGGCCAACAGGCATATGAAAAAATGTTCAACATCACTTGCAATCAGGGAAATGCAAATCAAAAATGTTATAATATTAAGAAAACGGTAAGGAAGAGAAACGACATTGACAGTACTATTGGAGTTATCATCATGGTAAGTTTACATCATCTTTTTCTAAGAAAATCTGCACAAAAGTGGACCCTTGAAATTCAAACCTGTGTTGTTGAAGCATCAGCTGTACTCTAGGTGCTTCATGTAAGTGGAATCATCTAGTTGTCTTTTTCTGATGGGCTTATTTTACGTAGCTTAATGTCCTCAAGTTTCACTCATGTGGTAAGTGGAGAGTTTCTTTCCTTTTTAAGGATGAATAAGACTCCATTGTATGTATATACTGATTTTGTTTATTCTTCTGTCAGTAGAAAACAAGTCACCTCTTGCTTGGAACTTGTGATTCTCCCTCTCAAAATAAAAAGAAGTGAAGAACGAAGACATTTTACCAGAGTAGGGCAGGGATGAGGCAACAAGCTGGTTGAAGTCATGGCATCGCCAATCTGATCAGTGGAATTCCATCAGTGGAAGTTAATTATCATTAACCTTATCTGATAATGAGAAGAATTGGGGTTTTGACCTACTGGAACATTTATCTTTAGTTGCAAATAGGTTTGAGGAAAACAAAATAACACTTAATTGAGACTCTGGCTGGTGGCAGGTATTGTGCTTGACACTCATCCCTCGTTCTTATTTATTTCTTCCAGCAATTCTGTGAGTCAAACTTTAGGCAAAACTGCAAATATTTAGGAGACCCTCAATTCATTGCCAAGGGCCTTGAGCCTAAAATAAAAGTATCATGTGAGTCAGATATGCAAGTCATAGATGTAATCCTCAGTTTCTATCAACCCAGCAAGAAGGGAGTGTGATCACATGGGCAGTTGAATGAGTGAACCCACACATAAGTTACTGAGTAGTTCATTTCACAAGGATCCTTATGCTGCTCTTTTATAACCCACCATCCTCTTCCCAGTCCACATTCCTTATGTCAAAAAATTATGAAAATTAATTGTCATAATTTATTTAACTCAAGATATCCAGATTATCTTTACCTATAATCAATGTAAATTGCTAATGTGATAGTTTATATATATTTATTTTATTTATTTTTACATCATTTTTCATTTTTGCACAATATATGTATTTTCATCTTGGTTATAGTCCCCATATAATACCCCAACCCCTTATTTTGACCCTAATCCCTCTTCCCTGCCCACCCCTCCCCCACTCCCATAGTGTATCTCTGGTTCATAGTTGATTGTTGAAATCCAGGCATGTATGTTACATGGACAGCACATTTCAAATGCTTGATGGTCACATGGGGTTGATGCTGTGATTGCCTTGTACTTGTCCACACTCAGTGCTCCTTCCTCTGCCACAGGAAGTATGTTTATCCGACTGAATAAGTTCAATGTCTCTCATTATGGTTCATGTCTTTCTACTTCCTTAATGAAAATGGTAGCTCTTTACCAGCTACATACCGTCATAGAAGAGTGGCTGGCTTCTTACTTAGAGAAAATCATTCCTCCTTTGCTCCTTGATTTTGCATTTTTCTCCAAGTCTGTTTTTCTGCCTTTGGGCAACCAGGAAATGAGTGATTAGATAAATTGGGGAGATTTATTTTTCTGAGTAATTACATAGGTTACTTTATGATTGCTGCTGCAAAGGGAACATTTTAGGTGGTTGGGGAGAACAGTCTGGTTATCCAGCTAAAAGACAGCTAATAACAAGAGAATTAGAGAAGAAATTCAGAAAAAAAACAAACAAACATTGCCATACATTATAAAATTGTGCTGAATAAAACAAAAGTGAAGCGTCTTTACTTTATCTTTAAAGCTTATTTTTCGAACTATAAAAATAATACTTTTCTAACTAGAAGAATATACAGAAAATAAGTAAAATGGATAAAAAGTTTACCCACAATACCATGTTCTCTAATGAGCTTCCAAGAAATCAGAGCCAAGTGGGAATGCCTTGTTATATTGTGGGTTTTCTTGTCCCCTAAAGGCAGGGGGCCATGTTACCCACAAAAGTGTTTCCTTTAGGAAATAAATCTTACGCAATTTTGAATTGTGAGCAATTTGTTGTTAGCAGTCTGCTTTGGAGACTGGGAGATGGAGGTGGACAAATGTGTTGAGAGAAAGGTAGAGGTTGGGAAGGAGAAACAATGATGCCTCATTGGTTCTGGTGTTGGGTGACACACCCCTGAAAGAATGAACAGGGTCCTGAAGGAGAGTTGGTAAGTGATGACTTCAGTATCTGTGGGAGTTAGATCTTCCATTACAACCAGGCCTAACCGGAAGCTTGAGAGCCTGGCCTTACATAGTAGGGCTCTAGTTCTCTCTGTGAGTATAGACTTTCTCTTGTTGCGCTTAGCACAATTCTATCTTTGTGAAAGAAATTTTCAGAGATTGAGCTCTCCTTCTCCATCACCCCAGGTGTCTTGCCTTCCTTAATCTCCAGGTAAATCCATTTTTCATCAAGTTCCAAAGCCATTTTGAGCCCATTAAAACCTTCTAGACTTGACTATCATGGGGGTTAAGCTTCCCAGTATATGAAGCAGTATTTCATTTCATTTTGGTTATAGATTTCTTTCAAGATTCAAGGAAATTCTCCCTAGTAAAAATGTTCTGGAATTTTAAGAATGATTCTTTCTAGTTTTCTTCATAATTCCATAGCCTCTCCTAGGTTATGCCTTCTGAACTATGGTCCTTATATATTCAGTCTCATTCTTCATGACATCTTTTGAAGAGTGAGGGATATCTTTAATGCAATAGGTATAATCTTTTCAAAAAAGTACTTTTGAACCTCCCTGTAAGATTGGAATTTCAGTTTTATTGGTTTCATTCCAGTTGATTTCTTTTCAGTCATGTATATAAGAACATTGCATTTGTACATCATCAAATGCAAATTAAACTTATGGCCTTGAATCTTTACATGAGTAAATGAGTAATATATGAAAGATATATAGAATAAGTCCATCATCTTATGTTTAATGTTTAGATAGTCTTGGCATCTCCCAGAAGCAAGAGAGACAGCAAGAGAAATGGGAGAGGAACAGTTTGGCAAGCAGAAGTCTCTCTCGGCGTTCCATCAGCAAAGAGAGGTGGGTGGAGACGCTGGTGGTGGCTGACACGAAGATGATTGAGTATCATGGGAGCGAGAATGTGGAGTCCTATATCCTCACCATCATGAACATGGTATGTCAGCCTGGGACGGGAGAGGGGCATCTGGCCCATAGCAGTCATAAAAATGCACCACTACCCCCAAATAACAGAAATCTGTTTTGGGTGAGTGGTATGTAGGGTGTAATACACATAATTTCTGTATATGTATATATATATACACACACATATATACATGTACAATGCATGTATGTGTATATGCACAATGCATAATAGATAATCTATTCCCTGTCTGAATGAATAAGGCTGGTAATTCAGGAAAAATTACTCTTTTCCTTAAAAATGTGCATCCTAGGAAAATTTGTAATATGTTTACATTTCCTACTAGGTATTTATCAAGGGATTCAGTCCTTTTAGTAGACTTTATCACTGACTTTGTTAGTGAGCAGATGAGTAAACTGAGGCCAAGAATTAGAACATGGTTTTTTCCATGTAGCTAGATCTAAATTTGGAATAAAATCGAAGTGTTGAACTGTTGACATTTTCTGCCTTTCTAGAATGCTAGTCCTGCTAGATGACAAAAGATATTTGCCTAAGTAACTATAATAAAAGAGAGGAAGACCTGGGTCACGGATCAGGTTGAAGAGAAGGCACTAATTCCTCAAGCATGCAGGCATCCACTCACTCTGGATAGGTTGTCTTTAAATATCATAATAGTATTGGACTGTGGGCATATCTGTTTTTGTTCCACCAAAAATTCCCGATCTGTAAGATGTTATTTTAAGTGCACCACCATTCTAGTTTCTTCCTTGTCTGTTATCTATTCATGTGGGGTGAATGGTTTTCCATTTCTGCCTCTAGGTCACTGGGTTGTTTCATAACCCAAGCATTGGCAATGCAGTTGACATTGTTGTGGTTCGGCTCATTCTGCTTGAAGAAGAAGAGGTAAGGAGCGGCTTTCCCACCTTGTACTCTCTACCTCCTTTCTCCAGGACAGCTCTTGATACACAAAAATGAGGTTATCAGAAAGGTCTTTATGAATCCAATGGGAAGGAAAAAATGCTTAACGTTATTTTCCTGGCAATCTGGTGATGTCAATCCAGTGATACCCAGTGAGGGAGAAAGAACATTGTCTAGGAATATTGAGTTGGAATCACCAGACAGTCATTGCAGCTAGTAACACAAAAATCAGATTTACTGCACTGACCAAGAATGTCCTAAGTAGGAAATAATCTACATCATGATATGCTTGGATGATTTCAATAAAAGTTAGGAGGAATGTTTTTAAACTGTTTATTTACCCTTTCCATCTGAATACATAGCTCTCAGATCTGGGCCCTTTTGTTCATGTCCGTATTTACCCTTAGGGATTTCATCTATTCTCATGTCATGTACATGCTGATACCTGACTTGGTGTGGCATAGGAGTGAGTTGCAATGAAACCAGGAGGACCCCAGGTCACTGTCCACCAAGGGTGGGGCCTGAGGGTGTCAGGCCACCAGGCAGGAATTAGATGACTCCATAGAATTTCCTTCTTAGTCTACTGGGTGATGTGCTGTTGAGTTCATTTTTTGTGAGACTCTGGAGTTACAAGCTTAGTAACTGGAAATTCAGCTGATGCTTTCCCCTGCCCCTGGGGTGATGTCAAAAATATTCACAAGGAATTTGTAGACTGACCTCTTTTGTTGTTTTTTGCAAAGTGCCTTTTCTTGTGATAATCAAAGAAGTTATTCCTTAGTCACCTGGGAAGTTTTCAGATTAGATTTTTCCCTGATTATTTCTTCTCTGCCCATTCTTTTTTTTCCCAGTCTAAGCCTGGTGAGTTTGTGCACTGAATCAAAACCTGCCTCCAGGAATTCCAAAAGAAATCAATACAAGATTTTTTTTTCACTATAAAAAGAGCTTACAAGGGAGAAAACAACTTATAACAAAAGCCATATTCTTGCAGAATCATTTTCTGTCTCCAGTTTCTCCAAGCTTTTGCTAATTTCTTCTAGGTCATCTCGCTTCCTCTAAGTTCACATATGCAAATGAATTGGAAAGGGGAAGTGGGAAGTGAATTGGACTCCTTTGAGAAAATGAAGTGAGAAAAAAAATGATAAAGGAACAAAAAGGAAAATCTGTTTTCCTTTGCAAAGAAAATGGGAAAAAATAGTGTGATTTGTTCTCACAGGCTCAAATAATTGTAAGAGTGCTTTATGGAAAATGTTTAACATAAATCTCCCCCTGTTCATGGTAAGCCAGCATAATCTCTCTGAAATTCTTGGCTCTTGTGCCTGCTTAGGGCTGCATGGTCTTGAGACAAAGCTTATTCCTCTTTCCATGGCTTTTGTGATCAAGTGCATTCAACAAATGACATGAATGTTTCTTAGACTTAACCTCTTAAGAGACTTGGAGATTAAAAGGCTGAAAAAAAATTGTATTCAATTAAAACCATCTGGAAGAGTTAAGCCATTTAATAGGAAAGTAGTGAGATATCCTGAAGACCCTGTGACTTCACTTGTATAAAATACCACATATGACAGATCCAAGTTCTACATGGGAGCAAGGCACTCAGTTTCAAATGATCCACAACTCAGTTAATTGTGCACTTGCTTTGTCTGCAAGAGGAACCAATGAAAGCAGTAGACAGAAAGCAAGCAAGATTTTGAGGGTGAAAGCAAGCTATCACTACTCACTGCAGCATGAGTTCAGTCCCTAGCCAGGGAGCTGTCCCACATTGTGCAGCAGACCTCTCCTGCCTCGCCCCCTGCTCCCCTCAGCAGTGCATTTCAGTCAGTCCAACTGTTCTGCTCCTGACTCTGTCTTTGGTGAATCCTCTTACCTGCCTGCACTTCTGGCCTACACCCCAGCTCTTGTGTGCATTAATAAATAAATCTTTAAAAAAAAATAGAATGAGGTATAGTTTGAGTCAACTGCATGTAGTTTATTACCCAAAATAGGACTGTGATTGAAAGTGGATTAAGCCAAAAGAAAGCAGAAAAACCCAAAGCAGTAAGAGGAGACTGGAGAGTTGGGGACCTCAAAAGCGGGAGGTCTCTGCCTGTGTTTATCTGCTCCCCAGGGGTGGGACTTTGTGGAATGTTTAATCATTTGGAACTAATGCTGGCTTATTTATTTATTTTTGCATAGAAGAACTGGGGTGTAGGCTAAGGTGTGTGGTAGGGATAATGGTGGGGTGAAAGGATTCACTGGAGACAGAGTGGGGAGTACAACAGGCAGATTTACTGAAATATACTGCTAAGGGGAGCAGCAGGTGAGACAGGACAGGTCTGCTGCACTATGTGGGTGTAGCTCCCTGGCCAGGGATCAAACTCAGGCCACAGAGGTGCTAGCACTGAGACTTAACACCTAGGCCACCAGGGAGGACCCCAATGAGGTTTGTAGCTGTAAACCTGGGTGCTATTAGCCTCACCATTTACATAAGGGAAGATTGGATACATATACAATTCCTATGGCCCTTGAGGGAAGTGGGCTCTTCAGAAGATGGGAAAGTGAGTGGCAGAGTTTGTGCTGCAGCATCTGGAAAATAATTCTGCTTCTCCATGTTGAAGATGTATGTTTACTGACACTGAATTTGGCCCAGGAAAGGGGGAGGAAGAGTGGGTGTTTGTAAACTTTCACTTTCCTCTAAACAGACATGCATGGATTGGTATGTAAGTTCTTCCAAAATGCTGAGTCCAATCAATGTAGAAAGGACAATACTGAAGCAAGCAATTGAGCTTTCCTGACCTGGCAAAAATTCCCATCTTGAGCTCTATGGCCTCACTAAGGACTTTGTGAGTCAAAGGAGAATATTCTGAGATGAGTTCCACCTGCTTCTGCCTGGGTGGCCACCTTGACACTAAAAAAGTTTTACATCCATGGCCATTTAATTAGGGATCTTAATTGAACCTTGTAGTAAGTGTGGGGTATATGAGAAATGTGAACTCTCCCTACTCATTGTGACCCATCTGAACAGCTACAATTTCCTGTGGATTCAAAACAATGGGATCTCACATGTGATTTCTAAGTAACTCATGTAGATTCTTACTGCAAAGTGCTGTATAAGATTTTCTAGTGCAACCCTTCAGCCTTGATTCTCATCAGTTATTATTTTGAAGCTACTTAATTTTTTCTATTTTGAGAAAATTGTAGACTTGCACACAATTATAAGAACATCTTGCATAACTTCAGCACAACATCACACCCAATAAATTAATATTCATGCAAGCCACCTGCATTATTCAGATTTTATCAGTTTTACAAGCATTTTTTGGGGAGTGTGTGTGTATGTGTGTGTGGTGTGTGTGTGTGTGTGTGTCTTATTGTAGGGTAAGCTTTCCTATCTGGTAGGATAACTCATTTCATTTTTTTCCAGTTATTTTAGTGACTTTTGTGCCTGTGCCTTTGCACATAAACCTTATGTGCATGACTATGAAAGATATTGTGGAGATTTTGATAGAATTGCAGCAGAAATATAGATTAATTTTAAGAGAATGGACATTATTACTATTTGAATCTTCCAGGCTGTGAATTTGGGGAATCTGTTTCTCTAACGATTTAGGTCTTTGATTTCTTTTATCAGCATTTTGTGATTTTTAGGATACAGTGCCTTGTATGTGCTTCATATTCATGCCTAAGTATTTCACTTCCTTTAGAGCACTTTTAAGTGGAACTATTTTTATTTCATTTTACTTTTTCAGTCATTTCTTTTTTAAATTGAGGTGACATTAGCTTACCTTACTGTTGGTATATTGGAAATATAGGATCCCTTCCCTCAGGCATTTCCACCTTCGTACATGTCATGTGGTCCCCTCTCTCCCCACAAACAAACAATGTAGGGCTCAGAACAGACCTCAAACAGTGTCATAATAGTTGATCTTTGTTTGATGATCAGCCTCCTTGTCTGAAGGAGCTGGAGTCAAGGCGCCTGTCCAGTGAGGCTGGTCACCAGGGAGAGCTGTAGCTTCATCAAGAACTTTGTTCTCATATTGTTTGACTCAATATCTGACCTGAGTGGCCTTCAGCTAGTTCTTTACTTCACTGAGGTTTAACTTCCTCTTCCTGTAAAATGGAAATAACCATGTTTCTTTTATAAACAATGTTAAGAAGATATAATTAAGTGAAATGAGAGAATGTATGTGAAAGTCTGGCACATAGTAAATGATTCAGAAATATTTCCTTCCTTTCTTTTCCCATTTCCTTTTATTCTTCTCTCACTCTTATTTTCTTTCTTTCCCCTCCCTTCTCATGGCTTCTGACTCTTGCCATCTGACCAGTCCCTTAAGGGAGTAGGTACCATTTGTCTTCATGTAAGGAGGGTTGCTATTCTAACTCCAGCTTGACCAGGTGAATTGGAGACTGACTCCCCTGTACCCAGTCAGTCCCCTAGAACACCCCCTGTTCCTTCACCTGACATCATTCTGCTGGACGATGTAATGAGGAGACGGAATAAGTATCGAGATCTGTTTTTTCTATTTATATTCTTCACGCTAATCAGTTTGTGAGTTTCTATGTATGATGAGCCACATTTCTGTGTTGTCATGTAAGGAATGTGGCGCATGGTAGTTAACTGCATGGCTGAGGAGGAGTAATTCTAGCAGGCAACTGAAGCCTCTCAAGCCTTGTTTGATTGGGGTGTGCGCCTCAACTAAATACAGAATAATAGAGAAGCAAGGTCATACTTTGACAGAGAGACTGCCCTAAAGTTCTTTGACTGAGTTCAGCATTAATAGACTCAGATTAGAGGGATGCGTTGGAGCTAGTCATTTTTCTGGAAGAATCCTCTTGGCATCAGTGATGACTCTATGGGGAGGTCCCGAAGAAAATGGACAAGGGAAAGGAATTTCTTCTTTAGAAATTAAAATTTAACTGGAGTCCCTCTGGAGCTGACTAGCCCTTTTTGTGTCCCCATTTGGCAAGTGCTCATCTAGTTAATGTGGAATCAGCCCTCTCTTCCCATCCCCACACTGCGAGCCCCATGGAAGACTCTTGAGCTGCCCTGGGCCTCAAAAACCCTTGGGTATCTGCTGCATCTGATTGTTGCCAGATGGTTAATTTCCTAACTGTCTAGAATCCTGGCAAGATGATGTCATCCTTTTCCCTTGACCCACAGATGGAAATCAGGGGCAGGGAAGCATGCACTACAACCCCAGATTTGCAGGATGCTTCCTAAAAAGAAGATGCTTTCTGTTAAAATTATTTCCATTTTGCACTAGAAATAAAATGTCCCCTTGGACTCTATCAGTTTAGGAAGGAGAGACCTACTAAAGACAGAACTTTCAAAAAGTGTTGGTCTTGCCAATATATTTAAAGTTTTACTTCAAGGGCTGCTTGTCTTAATGATAATTTTTGTCCTGCATTCTGCCCTTCAGTTTCTTTAGTGGAAATCATAGAGTGACAGTGTGTAGAGCAGGCGGACAGCCCAGAGGGCTTTGGTGGCTTCTGCAAAGTTTCTGAGCTTCTCTCACTTGAAAGCTTCAGGGGACAGTGTGAGGGGCCTCAGTGAGCTTACCCGTGCCCACCTCTTCCTCTTCTTTCTCCAGCAAGGACTGAAAATAGTTCATCATGCAGAGAAGACACTGTCCAGCTTCTGCAAGTGGCAGAAGAGCATCAACCCCAAGAGTGACCTCAACCCCGCCCACCATGATGTGGCCGTCCTTATCACCAGGTACCCCAGAGGCTGTGTGGATGCTGAGGGCTGCAAGTTGGGGAGGCCAGGCAGGCGAAAGTGTTGCCACACATTCACACTCTGTGATTCTTGCTCCTCTCTGCTGCTCAGTCATCTCTGCTGCTCATTTTCAAAGGCACCTTGTATAACCTGGACCACTCCTGATTCCCACACCATGGGCCATTGGAAAACTCGCTGATGCATCGAGTGCTCCATGATAACAAACTGTCTGCTGGCAAAGTGCAGGCCTCTTTCCTGTCTCTGTGATGACTTCGTCTTTAAACTTGACTTCTTTGTGTAGCTCTGTAAACAATCAGGAACCTCGTTTGCAGAGCCTCATTAGAGACTCTTAATCAGTCAGATATTCAATCCTTTATTTACTTACTTATTTTCATCCAGTTTAGAATGGATGAACTGCATCTATGGAAATACAGATGTAACTGCATCTATGGAAATCAGTCCTCTTCTAACCCACCCCTACTGAGGTGGAAGCAGAATGTGGGGAGCAGAGCCCCCCTGTGCAGGCAGACTGATGTGGCTTTATCTTCCTCTCTTTTATCCTCAAGAAGGTAGACCCTGTGTTTCTAATGAAATCCATCAATACTTACAGGACTCTTGATATCCATGAAAGGCTGGTGAATTTTCCTCACTTTCAGCCCAGGCTCAACCCAGGGCCTTTTAGCCCAAGCTCCTAGAAGACTGTTTACTCATTGACTTAATATTTATTTTTTGAGCACCTATGATACCAGATTCTATTTTAATCTGGACAAATGACAAGATTGTGTTCTATGGGGGAAATAATTTCTCATTGGGTGCCCTTATGCTGATTCAGACTTCTAGAAAATCCAGGCGTGTAGAGTAGAAGCAACCCCTTGGCCTGCCTTTCAGCCAGTGTGCCTGGGTGGGCAGGCTCCCCTTAAGCATTTTAGCCTGTCATTTGTCACTTTCATAGGATCATTTTAGTGCATAAGATGAAAAGGGTGATAATCAGCCCCCATCTATTCAAAGGTCTCTTCAGACGGTCTCCAATTGCAATCATCAGAGTCACTCTTTCGACTTTAAGCATTAAAATTTTCATTAAACATGAACATTGTGGCATAAACCTACTCTCTTAGGTTCATGAGGACCTGTTTCACCTTGGGTTGATCAGTAGCTCCCCTGGGGAATGTCGGTATAGGGGTGCGATGTAAGCACAAGGGCTCTGGGGAGGCAGAAAGAGACGAAGGCCCCCTGAGAACCTGGGAAAGAGGCCAGGAAGATGCAGTCCAGGCAGGACCTACCTGTGGGGAAGACCCTGGTTTCTGGAACAGCATTGGCCCCTGGCAGCTCTGTCTCAGCTCTATGTTTTCTTTCCCAGAAAACAGAAAAGCAGCTCCTCTCATTCTCACATGAAGAAATGAGTGAGTTAGTGATAGCTGGTGTTTGGGGAGTGTTTGATGAGGGCCACAGGCTGTGATACACCCATTAGGACAACCATCATTCCATTTTACCTCGTGACAACTCTGGTTGTTGGGGAAACTGAGGGTTGGTTTCGTGCTTTGCCCAAAATCTCATTGTTGTTAACAGGTACTTAAGCTGAGATTTAAGCCCATATTTTAACTCTACTGCATTAGAATATAAAGGATCTTCTCTCCTTTCTTCCTTGTGATGATCATTTTTTCTTCCTTACTGCAGAAGTCTGGCTTCAAATTATGATGAACCTCACCAACTCCCAGATAGTGGAGAGACTTTCAAGTGCTAAAGTAGGATTTATCAGCCTTGACACTGTTAACATTTTGAGCTAGATATTTGTTCATAGTGAGGAAGTGTCCTGTGCAGTGTAGGATGACCAGAAGCATCCCTGATCTCTCCTCATCAGAGGCCAGTAGTACCTCCTCCAAGTTGCGACAGTCAAAACTTTCTCCAGGGGCCTCCCTGGTAGCACAGGGGTTAAAGACAGTTGCTGTCAAGCTACTGCCAGCCACTACAGCATGAGTTCAATCCCTGGTCAGCCAGGAAGCAGACCCACATGGCACAGCAGACCTCTCCTCTCTCCCTTGCTGGCCATCTCATCAGTGTATTTCAGTCAATCTGTCTGTTCTTCTCCCCACTCTCTCTGGTGAATCCTCTCACCTGCCACACCTCTGGCCTGTACCCCAGTTCTTGTATGCATAAATAAATAAATCTTTAAAAAAAAAAACCTTTCTGCAGACATTGCCACATGTGCCTTTAGACAAGTGGGGAGCAAAATCAACCTTGTTGAGAACCTCTGGTCTGTAGAGATAGGTAGGATCAGGAAAGGAGGGAGGAATTAAAATGAACTTGCCTCTGGAAGGCTATGCCGAGATCCATCTTAGCAGAGCCACCTAGAGAGTTGCATTTAGTGGAAGGTGGATTTGGCCGCACATACCACAAGGAATGGCACTTGTGGCTGCATTTTTCTTTACTTGTATCCCCAGTGCATGGCTGTGGTAGAGCTCATCCCCTTTGGGGAGCTTAAATTACTTGCCTGCAAAAAGCCATATTCCTACCATTCTTTTGTATCCCCTTTTTTCCACTTTAGTTTTGGATACTGCTAGTTACTCAACAAACAACTGTTTAATGAATGAAAAGTTAGCGGATTATCAGGATAAAAAGGTAGTGGATTAGCAACAAGAGCCCATCATCTCTTCCCAGCAGCTCCATGCAGACAGACGTAGGCTTTTTTTAATGAAATAGTAGCAAGAACATTTTGCAGGAATGATGGTCTGGGTCCTGCAGACCCAGAACCTACTGACAATGATTGGGCTGTGTGGGTCAGCCATGCTCTCTGACCAGAGTAACAGCTGCTGAATGACTAACAGCTGCCGTGAGTGGGGTGGGATGGAGCTGCACCCTCATCGCGTGGCCCAGCCATTGCCTCTGAAGAACTGAGGGCTTGCAGGGTCCTCAAAGCCTGGATCTTTCCTTGGCCCAGTGGACACAAAAAGTAGATAGACCCTTTGTCTCCAGAAAGGCATCTACACAAACCCCATGAGTTGAAGGCCTGCAACTAACTAAAGCTTGGAATTTGCCAGCATTTGTAACAATCATTCTTGGCAGAGAGCACTCCTTGCATTGAAGGAGACCCGTGACTAATGAACAACTCTTTCATTGATCGAAATAATTCCTACCAGGATATGGGGGCACATTTTTACATTAAAAGGTGGTAGCTGGAAGTCTTTCCCTTTCTTTTTGCACAGTAGGAAAATAGTGAGGTGCTGGTAAAAGTGAAAACTCTGTGTGTGTGTGTGTGTGTGTATGTGTGTTCATGCACCCTCATAGACAGTATTGTTAGGATAATGAGGCTGAAATAAAATTGATTGATATATGAATGGGTTGATAAGACCATTGCCTTTTTCTTGAGTTAGAAAAAGTTCTCAGATGAATTGTGAACACAGATCTCAGAAAGACCAAACAGGGTTTCAAATTCGAGAAACTTTCATCACTGCCAGTTGTCTCCTCTCTGTTTAAAAGCTCAAATTAAATTGCATTTTCAATAATCTCCCTCTCTTTTTGGCCAAATAATATAATTTGGCCTCCTGAGATTGAGAGCAAAAGCAGCTCAAAAATAAGGCATTTGCTCTATTTCCCCATATTTATTAGGCATCAGTGAGAGTCAGTAATCAAGAGGTTAACATTGAAGAATCTTGGTGAATTAGAAAATGCTCCCTACATTCCTAATAAATAAGTAAATGTGATCATTTTTCATAGACCATATTGAATATGAAGCAATATCCAGATTTTTTTCCAGGAGAGTTTTTCCAGATGTTTCTTTGGGCGCCAATGCATCTCTTCTCCGCTTTCAGAAAGGACATCTGTGCTGGTGTCAACCGCCCCTGCGAGACCCTGGGGCTGTCACACCTCTCAGGGATGTGCCAGCCTCACCGGAGCTGCAACATCAATGAAGACTCTGGCCTCCCTCTGGCTTTCACAATTGCCCACGAGCTGGGACACAGGTAAGCAGAGATTCCTCTATGCTTATGCCTCAGTGGGCAGAGGGACAGAAAGCACCATAAGCTGGGGTCAGGAACACTGGACAATATTGTGGCTTGAGACTCACCTTCCTGGCCCCCGCTTCCTCCTCTGTAAAGTGGGGCAGTCACACATGAAATTTCATTGGCATCTCTTCTTTTTTATTTTTAAAGATTTATTTATACCATAATTGGGGTACAGGCCAGATGCACGGGAGGGTGAGAGGATTCACCAGAGACAGAGCGGGGAACAGAACAGGCAGACTGACAAAATACACTGCTGAGGGGAGCAGCGGGCGAGACAGGAGAGGTCTGCTGCGCTATGTGGGATTCTCCCTGGCCGGCCAGGATCAAACCCGCACTGCAAAGGCTGCGGACAGCTTCACAGTGCGGCACTCAACTGCCTGCGCCACCAAGGAGGCCTTCATTGGCTCCTCTTCTTTGACCACTTGTTCATTACCGTTCTCTGAATTAGCATGGGCTGAGCACAGCCCTGGAGATAAGTTTTAATTTAGCTGATTAATTCAGGAGTAATAATACCTATTTTGTGATTTATCTAGAAACCATTGCTTAATGATCGTGGAATACTTCATAAGCTAGGTAGCAGGGGATTTGCAATTGGGGAATAGTCTGGGAAATATCTGTTAGGTAAAAAGCTTTCATTGAATTTAAAACACGTTCTTTGTGAGTGGGTGGTAAGAGCTTTGTAGATTAATCATCTGACTCCCTGTGACTTTCGTATCCATGAGGTATGTGACCAGAGTCCGTAAGCTGATAATGCCATGATGCATAAAAATAGATACAAGAAAATCTCTAGATCCCCAAAGACTATTCTCTGATAGAGTTGCTAATGTTGCTTAGGAGATTTTATTAACCTCGGATATGAGTGTCCGAGTTAGAAGGGTTGAATTTCACTGGCAGAGTAAAAAGGTCCTACTTTCCTCTGTTCAGATACGGAAATCTGAACAACATCTCTTGGTTGCAAGAGTCCAATAAGCAGACTTCAGTGGAGAGAGTTCTTGGGGAGCAGCAGGGGGTTCAGAAGGCATCTTGGGGTACTCCTGAGGACATGGCTTTTAAATAGACATTTTTGAGTCTGCTGCTTTCCCAGGCACCCCTTTGCTTTTTAGGCACACAGTTAAGCTTTTTGTTTTTTAAAAGATTTATTTATTTATGCATACAAGAGCTGGGGGGCAGGCCAAAGGTGTGGGATGGAGGGTGTTGAGAGGATTCACCAGAGACAGAGTGGGAAGCAGAACAGGCAGACCTTCTGAAATACTCTGCTGAGGGCAGCAGCGGGTGAGAAAGGAGAGGTCTGCTGTGCCATGTGAGTTGCTCCCTGCTGGGGGATCAAACTGGCACTGCAATGGCTGCAGATTGCTTCTTTGCAGTTCTGAGACTTAACCCCTTGTGCCACCAGGGAGGCCCCAGTTAAGCTCTTTAGGACTTTTCAAGGCTGCTGCACCTGGTCAGCCCTGGCAGTGGAAAGTCAGAGAGCAGAGACATGACAGAGAGGGAACGCTAAATTCGGAGCACGGAGATCTGCAGAAGATCTAGTTTTTCCACTAACTGTGACTTTTAATAAGTTTCAAACTCTAAACTTCACCTGGGAAAGGAAAATAAGCAACACAGTGATAAAAATAACAGTAATTAACAGTGATTAAAAATAACAGTAATTCTATCACTCATGGTACCTTTCTCCTGTGCCAGGCACCTTGCTAACTCTCTCCCATCCGTCCCGTTCACCCTAGCACCATGGAAACGTTTCCACTTTCCAGGAGAGGAAAATGAAGATGAGAAAGTGTCAGCACCTCATAGATTAAGTGACAGAACTGGAATTCCAGTTCAGATAATCTGTCTTGAGAAACCCCGCTCTTCACCCCTGAATGATGACTTCTCCTTAATGTCTCTGATGTTGAAGGAGCAACATGAAAAAGAAACCCATTCCTCAAGGCTTGTGGCTTTGCCACTTTCCCATAGGCATCCCCTTCTTTGTTTTCCCTCCAGTTATGATGGAAAGGGAAGGAAGGTTTTGACTTCTGTGCTTTGTTACTGCAGCTGGAGAGAGCAGGGAGCTTGGGGATTGTTCTGACAGGATGCAAGAAAGCCAAACGGAGCTCTCTTAGCTTTCTGTCCAACAGAAATTCTTGACTTCTCCACACAGCCCCTGCTGATGCATATCCGAGGCACAGGCATGCCTGCAATGTCCCCAGTGCTTTTTTTTTTTAAATAGAGGCATGTTTTATTTATTTATTTATTTGTTTGTTTGCTTGTTTTGTTTTATACATGCACTGGGTACAGTCAGAAGCACGGGAGGGTGAGAGAATTCACCAGAGCCAGAGCGGGGAGCAGAGCAGGCAGAAGGACCGAAGGACACTGCTGAGGGGAGCAGCGGGCGGCAGGAGAGGTCTGCGCGCCATGTGGGACCCTCCTCTGGTGGCCGGGGCGCAGCCTGGGATCAAACCGGCACTGCAGAGGCTGTGGGCAGCTTCGCAACCCAGCGCTCAACCGCTGCGCCACCGGGGAGGCCCCCCAGTGCTTTTTAATCCAAAATTAGCTACCCCTCTCCAACTTCACAGACCCACTTTGTAAAGAGAAGCCTTAGGTGTAGAAGTTATTCTCTGCGTCTCACCTGTGGGTATTTTCACCTTGGAGAAACTGGTTTCCTCCCTGTCTCCAGCCTGCCCCCTTGATATTCATGTGCTTTGTGCCTCCCGCCAGCTTCGGCATCCAGCATGATGGGAAAGAGAATGACTGTGAGCCCGTGGACAGGCACCCCTACATCATGTCCCGCCAGCTCCAGTACAACCCCACGCCGCTGACGTGGTCCAAGTGCAGCAAAGAGTACATCACCCGCTTCCTGGAGTAAGTCAGCGCCTCGGGCCAGCCTCGCTGGGTCTCTGTGAACTGGAGGGCCCTTCGAGTTGTACACAGAGGCCCTGAAGCCTCGAAGGGGCTCGGTTGCTCCCACCGGCCACAGTGTGAGGGTGGTGTCAGAAGGAGTGGATCTCACTTCTGCTCTGACCCAGAGACCTAGGTGGATTCTACCCCCCAGACACAATCAGGTGAGCGTCCACACCGTCTGCTTGTTCCTGCCTTAAAGTGGCTCTTTATGACCTTTATGATGGGGAGTTAAGTTCTTGGGGACTGGCAGGAACAACCAGGACAAACCATAAGTGGCCACCAAAACCCCATGGAGGAGAGAGTAAGATGGTAATTGTCTCATGGAGGGGGATGTGATTTGCAGTTCCTTTCAGATAACCCTCAACTTGGGCCTGGAGGGCTCTCTGCCTTATAGAAATAAAGTTGTCTTGAAGGACAAAAAGACAACTAGAGGGACAGAGTTTCTGTGGAATAAAATGCCAAAGATGAAGGAACTCATAAGCAGCTGCTCTCACTTCTACTATCTTGTTTTCAGCCGAGGCTTGGGGTTCTGTCTTGATGACATACCCAAAAAGAAAGGCTTGAAGTCCAAGGTCATTGCTCCTGGAGTGATCTATGATGTTCATCACCAGTGCCAGTTGCAGTATGGCCCCAATGCCACCTTCTGCCAGGAGGTAGAAGTAAGTATTGGGGAGCTCAGTGCCTCTGGTGGGAATGTAAGACTTGAGGTCTCCAGCATGCTGAAGGATGGGCCAGGGGCATGTTTGGAAATCTAAAGATCTACACCTATAAATGGAAAATTTCTATTATAAGGCAGAAGGATTGATGTTTATACTTCTCAGGACCTCACAGATTATTAAGTGACAGAACTGGAATTCCAGTTCAGATAATCTGTCTTGAGAAACCCTGCTCTGCCTCCTTGGTCTTCTGTAGAGCCAGCAGTGCTTTGCAACTGGGTAGGGGTGAGAAAAGTTCTATAGTGATTTTCAGGAGTTGGAGTGATTCATGCTTGCACACTGTATACCAGCTCAACCCTAAGATTGCTCCCTTTCCTCAGTTTTCCATCTGGTTGGAGAACACTGCCAGATCCTGGGGTAGGAGTAAGATTTGTGCCCATTTCGTTTTTCTCCTTTATTTTCTATATCCAAATGGTACAGCAAGTCCTGGCATCTAAATAGTTTGTGACTGTCCAGTCTCCATTCTTGCTGCCATTTGTCTGGATTCAGTCTCTAGTCATCTCCCTTTGCTATTATAATTACAGTGATTCCTGCCTAGTCTCTCTCCCATTCATACTGTCACTCAAGGTATTTAAAAAAATCCACAAATCCAACCACAGCTCTGCTCTGCTCTCAGGATCCCAACAGAATACAGGATGAAGCTCTGGATCATTTGTGATCTAGATCTTGCCTGGTCTCTGAAATCATCCCTCTTAGCACAAAAATGTTGGTATTAATGCAACTATACAGACAAGGCAAGTCTCATTGAACATCCTGCCAGGTTCTGTGCTGTGCCCTGAAAAAGGTGAAAAAAAAAAAGTGTTCTCAAAACTTAATACGACAAACCCTTTAGCCTTGAGAAGCTCATGTTCTGGTGAAGGAGGAGGAAGATAGAAAAATTCTAGTATAGTGAGATAAATACATAAAGAGACAGAGAAAGAACTTTTTGGAAGAAGTAATATCTGGCCTAAAACAAACAAAATTGAAAAAAAGATAAAATTGGTGTAAAAATCCTTCACTTCTCACTGATCACCAAATTCTGCTAATCCTGCTTCCTAACTATCTCTAAAATCCACCTACTTCCAGATGACTGAGTAGCCCCCTGCCCTGCAGACACAACCAGGTATGTGAAAGCAGTTGAGCCAGATGACATATAACATCCTGGCAACCTTCCTTTGTTCCTGCTGCAGGAAGAGAAATGAGAGGACAAATCCAATTCACTCCCCGAAAAAACAAAATGACTACTTTAAGTAACAGGTAAATGAATTGAGTCGTTCTGGATGGATTAGTTTCCACTTCCTTCATGGAGCAAGCTCGTGTTATAACCACCCCAGGTGTCTGTAATCGGATCGCCTTCTATCCACAGTGTGGGCTGAATTTGATGACTGGTGTCACCAGTTACCCTCCCCAAGGCCAGTGAGTCCTGGACATGGCACCGCACACATAGAAATGAGTCTTTACTCTTGGGCTTCTCTCTCCCATTTTATCAGGAGTGTTTTATCTCCCATTTTCTTTTTGGCTCTTATGGTTGACAGACCACTGATTGCGACAAAGTCCAAATGAATCTTGAACTAAGAGTTCTCCAGTGAATCCTTTTCTTCACTCTTACTCACTAACAGCCACAGCGTTCATTGTGCATATATTTTTACCATCATTGTGGAAATGCTGTTTTGCAGAATTTGAAAACACGGGAAAGTACAATCTCACATTTGCTTTCCAGAATGTTTGCCAGACCCTGTGGTGCTCAGTGAAAGGCTTTTGTCGCTCTAAGCTGGATGCTGCTGCTGACGGGACACGATGTGGTGAGAAGAAGGTGATGTATCAGGCTGAGGAATGAAGCAGGGTGGGCAGTGTGCACAGAACTCTCAGGAAGAGCTGGGGAGAAGGTCCTGGAGAGCAGTTGGGTGAATGGAGATCGCACTGTCAGACCAGCAGGGGAAAGACTCTCCTTCCACTTCACCTTTCCGACCTTCACTGTGGTCCTCCCTGGTGGCCTTGGGGTAAAGTCTCAGTGCTGTTGTAACAGGGTGTACACTGTCACCCCCATGGCTTGAATTCGATCCCCCTCCAGGGAGCTGACCCACATGGCACAGCAGACCTCTCTTGTCTGGCCCGCTGCTCCCCTCAGCAGTGTATTTCAGTAGATCCGCCTGTTGTGTTCCCCACTCTGTCTCTGGTGACTCCTCTCATACCTCAGCACCTCTGGCCTACACCCCAATTCTTCCATGCAAAAATAAATAAAATCTTCACCCTTCACTGCAAATAAGTAGTTAAGGGGGGAGGGCTGGGGCCCAATTCCACATTTCACTTGTAAAACATCTGTCCCATCATCCCTCGATGAACATCTGTAGAGTTCGTGGCCTACAGCACCTGCTGAACTTTCTACCCACCTTCACTTGCCTTCCTCCGCTCCATATTAAGGCAGGAAGGTGTGCCAGTGGCTTCTTCTTTCCATAAATGCCAGATTTGGACCATTTGTACCTTCCTTGTCATCATCCGGTCTGATCGCATTTCTTGAAGTCCTACCCACTTTGCTGAGCAGAAAAGTCACACCCACAAGGACTCAAAGCCACTAGGTACCCTCAGACTCCCTGGAACAGGGTAATAGTGTCACTGGGCAAAACCTTCTGGGTTTTCGGGCTGAGGTTTTGGCATTTGGTGGTGTCTTTATGCATCTCTAGAGTGACATCAAAATACACTGAGGAAAAGGTCAGCAGATAAAACATGCACAAACGCCCCAGGACATGAGGCCGTTTCTAATAACCAAGTTGCATCTTCCTTTGTTGTCCTTTTTGTATGTTTAATCCTTAAGCTCCTGTTCATTGTTGAAGAATTACCCTGAAGGGAAGAGAGTGGTGGTGGTGTTTTTCCTGAGTTACTTGATAGACCACAACTAGAAACAATGGGTAGAGTTACAGGAAAGCAGAATTTTTTTTTTGATCTTGGAAAGAATTTCAAGTTTTTAACAATTGGGGCCTTTTGGCAATGAGTGGGCTTTTTGCCAGAGGATGAGTTATCTGTTGCAGACATTAAGCAATCACAGAGGCTTATTAAAGGAGTGTGATCACAGAGCCAGACTGTAAAATGTTCTACAAAGAGCCTGCACCAGAAAGTAAACCCACTGAGTTACTGAGGAACTCTCTTACTTAGCATGGCTTTTCATAACAACACTTTCTCAATGAAGGAAGTGGTGTGTTGATTTACATTCTGGCGTGCAATCTGCCAGCCACACTTTGGGTAACATTCCTGCTTTGGCTGCAACGAGGCACCATAAATTTCACTTGATTCCTGAAATTCTCTAGGGGCAACTCTAAGGGGAAATTATTTTATGAGCCTTTCTTCATTGTATATCTGACATGTGACTATAAGAAGCCTGCTAGCTCAGGAGAATTGGGTTTCAACTTATAGGATTCTTGACTCGGCTTGCGATGAGAAATGTCCTGATTGCTGCATTTCCTGTGCCTTCCCTTCCAGTGGTGTATGTCTGGCAAGTGCATCACAGTGGGGAAGAAACCAGAGAGCATTCCTGGAGGCTGGGGCCGCTGGTCCCCCTGGTCCCACTGTTCCAGGACCTGTGGGGCCGGAGTCCAGAGTGCAGAAAGACACTGCAACAACCCTGAGTAAGTCTAACCAGCTATAGTGCCCCACGGGAGCTGGGGACCAGTTTGGGGTAGTGTGACATCAGTGTTCTCAAGTCTCCCCAAGGAAACTAAGTAGATTCCCAAAGGCGAAAGGGAACCAGACAATCTATGCAGGAGTGACCCAAAAAAAGTGGTTCTGTTTTGTTTTATTTCATTTTGACTTGGTGCTAGATTCTCACTAGAGCTTGGATAAGTAGGCTGATTCCTTCTCTTAGAGAAATAAGCATTGTTCCTTTAAAAGTGGAATCATATGAGAAAACCTTGAGGAGATTATGCAATTAAATCCTTCCAGATAATCTCTATCAGCGAGAGATTAATTATACCCAAGTTTGCTGATAAGATTGTAGCTTTCTTTTCAATCATAATGAGTTTTATAAAAATATTTTTCTTCCCTTAGGTAACTAATAAAATAGCTAGGCACATTTTTTTGGAATAACTATTTTAATGTTTCAGATAAGGATTTTGTAGTTCTTTTTTTTTTTTTTTTGCTCATTATATACTATTTTATTTTATTTTTTTTAAATAATAAATTTTATTTTTATATTCCCCCATACAATTGCAAACCCCCCATTCTGACCCCAATCCCTCCCCTCCCACCCCCATCCCCCAAAAAGTGTCTCTGGTTCATAGTTTTTTGTTGATTTTGATTTTCACTTTCTTATAGTTATTCATTTTCCTGGTCCCTTATTTAAGTTTTCTAAATTCCTGCTATGAGTGAGACCATCCGGTATTTTTCTTTTTCTTTTTGGCTTATTTCGCTGAGCATGATCCCTTCCAGCGCCATCCATGTTGCTGCAAATTGCATGTGTTTATCTTTTTTGAATGCTGAGTAATATTCCATGGTGTATATGTACCACATCTTCTTGATCCAGTCATCTATTTTTGGGCATTTGGGCTGTTTCCAAAGCTTAGCTATTGTAAACAGTGCTGCTATAAACATAGGTGTGCAGGTGCTCTTTGGAATTGATGTTTCTGTGTCCTTTGGGTAAATACCTAGGAGTGGAATTGCTGGATCCTATGGAAGCTCTATGTTTAGTAGGTCCAGAAATCTCCAAAGAGCTCTCCATAGTGGTTGGACCAGTTTGCACTCCCACCAACAGTGCAGAAGAGTTCCTTTTTCTCCACAACCTCGCCAACATTTGCTGTTGCTAGTTTTTTTAATATGTGCCATTCTCACTGGTGTAAGATGGTATCTCATGGTAGTTTTGATTTGCATTTCCCTGATGACAAGTGATGTTGAACATTTTTTCATATGCCTGTTGGCCATTTGCATTTCCTCTTCAGAGAAGTTTCTTTTTAGCTCTTCTGCCCATTTTTTGACTGGATTATTTTCTTTGTTGTTGCTGAGTCTCATCAGCTCTTTGCAGATTTTTGTGATCAGCCCTTTAATCATTAGTGTTGTGTGCAAAAATGTTCTCCCAGTGGGTGGGGTTTCTCTTTGTTTTTGTTATTGTCTCTTTTGCTGTGCAGAAGCTCTTAAATTTGATGTAGTCCCAGCTGTTTATCTTTGCCTTCACTATCACTGCTTTGGGTGATGTGTCTGTAAAGATGTCTTTGTACTTAGAGTTTAATATTAGCTGATTAAGAATTCTGTTGAATTTATTTCACAAGTAACTTTCAATTTTTTCAAAACAATTACTTAATTTTTACTTATTTTAAATTTGTATAATGATATTATGTATGAATTCAATTTAAGTTCCCTGTTTCCAAATATATATTACTTTCTTAATTTCATGATTTCCTGATATACTAGTTTCTACGTATATATATTTTAAAATGTCCATAGGATCCCTTCTGCAAGTAGAAAGATGTATTAATTTTTTGCCTATATTTATATTAGTCTTTATTATAAAATAAGTCACATTTTAATAGGCAACTGACAGATATAGTTTTAATTCCCTCAGTATCTTAATTCCAAATTTTACTTCTTTTTATTAATAAATATATGATTAAATGTATAAGTGTGCCTGTATAGATATACAAATACGTAGGCTTTGTATATAATAAATTTCTCCTAAGAGCTAAAAATTGAACATCTATAGAGTTTAACACAATATACCTACTGTATAAAATTATCAACAATGGTAGTTAAAATAGTTACTATGATATCATAGTGCTTTATCATTCACCACATACATGTGTAGATTTGAGGAATTCGGACAACTTTTAAGACTTTACCTTTGATAAAGTTGTTTTTGTTTAAACATGGGTTTCTATGACTTCAAAAATTCAAAATGAGGATTTTCTTATAGAGGACCTTATTTTTAAAGAAAATCTTCATTTTATAATCTGTTTCCAGGTGATCAAAAATGTATTTCAAATGTAGAGATTAGGAACTACAGGTCATTTGCTCTGGGGCCTGTGGTCAGTGCTGTGTGTCAGCCACCTCCTGGCTGTTTCACTTCCTGGAGAGAATGGTCAGTGACCTTGATTGTCCGCAACACATTTTGTTGAGAATCTCAAGGACGATTCTCTAACTTGGGTTCAGGGGGAAAATGGTCTTAACTTCCATCTCAGAGGCCACAGTTTGTTATAGTTCCCATCAAGGTGAGTGAGTTCCCATCAAGGTCAGTTGCTGTTTGCTTAAATTTGTGGAGTAAAAGGCTAATGGAGCCAATCCAAGATTCAGCTCTGTGTTTAAGGTCACAGATTCAGGTTAGGGCATGACCAACTTGCATGACCTTGAAACTGTGTCCTTGATGTTGGTCAGCTGTTAGTAAGAACCCAGCAGAACTCAGTACAGGAAGGACTCTTAGTGATGGTTTTGGATGGAAATGAATGCGAGGGGTACCAAATCATCAACATGAATAGAAAACCAGCCTCATATATCAAGGACATGTCCTAGTACTGCCTACAGTCAACAGATGTGGTCTTGGGCAAAGTTTCTTTATAGCAACAAGCAAACTTTTTCAAGTCATATTAACAGAGGTGGAAAGGGAAGTATAGAAAATCTCACAGGCTGTCAAGTAGAACAAAGTACAGCAGAACACAGATACAACTTCAACTGAAACTGCCCTGCGCTGTCAGGACGTGAGGTTTCTGTCCCTTAAGCCACATGCTCAGGCAATTTAATACAGTTGATACGGGCTCTGGCTGTGGAGTAAGGAGTTTACATCTTGGCTCCTCCATTGCTGCTGGCCACTTTGGGAAGATGTTCTGGCTTTCTGTGCCTCTGTGATATGATTTCTGCTAGCCTGCTCTCTTGGCATTACTTCTGCCTGAAAAGCCACTTCCCATCCGTCCTTTAAGACCATTCTCCAGGACTGTGCCTTCCGTATTTCCTATTTGGCAGCCTGCTTCCACCTTTCATTGTCTTTTAGTTCAGGAATATGGAGTTGCTATCTTAAATTTTCTTTCATTTATTCTGATTATGTTTGTCCCGCCCTAGTGAAGGGAATATATTACAAGACCGCCAGTGGATGCCTGAAATTGTGGCTACCCAACCTTATATATGCAATGTTTTTTCCTATACATACATACCAATTATAAAGGTTAATTTTATAATTAAATTGTAATATAATTTGGTATAATTTAATTTTAATGTCTTATAAGCTAAATTAATTTTAGTAACACTAATTATTAAATTTAAGTTTAATTTAGACACAGGAACCAATTAACAGCTAGTAATGAAATAAAACAATTATAACGACCTACTGTGTCATTTAAGTTATGTGAATACAGTCTTTCCATCTCTAATATTCTCTCTTAATACCTTATCTATGTAATATTTTTGGCCCACAGTTATTGGTAATTGAAATTATGGCAAACAGAGCTACAAACAAGAGGGACAACTGTATTTCTTTCTCCCCGACAAGATAGTCACCTTCTAGAAACACCAGGTCTGGGCTGACCTTCTGAATTCTCTCCTCTTAGGACATGGTGTTGAGTATGTGGTAGTGAATAAATATCAGGGGACATTTTAAGCAAAGTGTTGGTCTTTAAGGAAGCCACAAGAATAGCCTGTCTGTTCCGTTCACAGACCAAAGTTCGGAGGGAAGTACTGCACAGGTGAAAGGAAGCGCTACCGCTTGTGCAGCGTGCACCCCTGTCGCCCCGACACCCCGACATTTCGACAAATGCAGTGCAGTGAGTTTGACACTGTTCCCTACAAGAATGAATTCTACCGCTGGTTTCCAGTGTTCAATCCAGGTAAGGAGCTGTGGCTGTATGTTTTGGGATTGCAGCCATTGACAGAGAGTTCTTATATGGCACAGGGTCTGCTGCCCTGCACTTTCAACCCAAAGAGAATCACAGCCTCTGGGCTTTCATACTCAGGGCTAAATACTGATCTGATTAAACTGATGAGTAAATGTGAAGGGCTGAGCATGTCCTAGTTTATGCTGAGCTCATGAGTCATCAAAGAGAATTTGATCAGACAGGAAGCCTCCCTCCAAACGACAGGGTGTGAAAAAAAGATGAAATCTGGCCATTTGCAACAACATGGATGGAACAGGAGGGGATGATCCTCAGTGAAATAAGTCAGATGGATAAAGCAAATGCCATGTGATTTCCCTCATCTGTGGAATATAGAGAAACCAAACAAAGGAGCAGACAAAAGTAAACTAAAACAAACTGTAGAATCTGACTACAGAATTGAGGCTCCCAAAGCGGGTTTGGCCAGTGGATGATGGTGGAGGATTATCCAGGCTTTGGTGATGGGTGTGGGGTGGTAACATACCTGTGATGAGGTGTGAGTCTGTATCTGTCAATCACACAGTGTTGTAAACCATCAATACCTTCATAAAAAATAATACAATTAGAAACCAAGACAGCTGAAGTGCAGCAAAGTAACAAACGGCACATGTTAGAAATTCAGTAATTTCTGATGAAAGTGTTTGTTGAAGAGCATGTGGAACGGACTGTAATTTTGGCAGAAATTCAGAGGATACCATTGTAGTTTTGGAGTCATTTCAAAGGATTCCAAGGAAGCATTGATGATTCTGAGTGTGAGTCGTCTTTCTACTAGAAGAAGGAAAAGAAAATACGTTCAAAATAGTCATTCCTAGCAGGAGGAGAAAGGCACAAGAAAATACAAGAGAGTAGGAAGGTCTTCCTCAGAAATGAAAGAGCCAGCCTGGGCCAGAAATCAGCACTCTCGACGTACAGGACAGAAGAAAGGTCAGAAGAAAGGTCGTACAGAAGAAAGGTCAAAAGTAAAAGTAGGCACCTTCAAGGTTGCACACTTGGGGATAGGCAATACCTGGGGGAATAAAGGCAGCCTTGGCAGCACTTTCCCTGAGAAAGGACCAGTTACACACGTGTCCTGGAAATGAAAGTGAGTCACTAACCACTAGTTATAGAGTAACGCCAAATAGACTTAGGCAATTTGTTGTTGTTCAAGGGCAGGATGAAACAGAAAAGATTTTCCTGAGTTAACGAGATCTGAGACCAGGTAAAAAAAAAAAAAAGCAAATTTTTGTGATTTTTAGGTTTTGAAATTTCAAACATAAGAGGAATCAAAAATGGCAGCCAAACAAAGAATGAAAAGTATGTTTGGGGGTGATTTGCTCCTGAAAGACTCTAGTGCTTTGCCCACTTTGGGTTTCCAAAGTACTCTGACAGCTATTGGTTGTCACAGTAACCAGCAATCTCTGCTTCTTGCCCCCAGCGGATTAGCATTATTCATGCTCTAGGGGAGTCAGTCCTTTGGTTATTGCTGCAATTAGTTCTGGAGCCAGGTATTTGAATACAGGAAAATGCATGTATATATTCACCTGCACGCCAAAAGACACTACTGATGAAAGGACAGCCAGTTGACACCACCTAGACTATACTCTGGCTAGTCTCTGCTTTGTTGAAAGTCTTTGGTCAGTGGTGCTATCCACCTGGAATGAGATTCAGCCTTCCAGAACTAAGGTGACATAACCACCCCGTGGTGGTTGAGAGGTGCTTAGTTAAGAACCCACTGTCACCCTATCCCTCTTGTAGATTTGGATAAGTGTGTGCTGACCTCTGGTGGCTCAAGTACCTGGACTTGGAGTAAAAAGATGTGGCTCAGCGTGGCTTTTCATTTATTTTCAAGCACGTATCACCTGCCAACATTTTGCATAACAAAGCAATAGGTTTCAAAGAAATGAGTTATAAGAGTAGACATGCATCTCAGTTGTTTGGAGTGATTGCTTTCCATCTGTTCCTGGCACTGAAGCTGTATAAACCAGGCATATTGGAGGGTCTTGTCCCCTCTAATGCTCTCGAAGAGTGAGTGATCTCCTAGCATTGAGTATTCCCATGGTCTGCCCACTAAGTTCACAGCCTACCTGAGCTGTAAGGCTCCACCCTCCAGTCCAGTAATTTTCCTTAAAAAGCCATTCACAACGTTCTTTATCTCACTTTCCTCTGCAATGGAGGGAGGAAAAGTAGAAGACTCACTAACCCATATTCCCAGCAGACGCAGCTCTGCAAAGAGACAAAGATGGAAGTCTTCCTGGGCCAGAATCCTTCCTGCCCTTCCCTCTTGCCCCTCTTGCTGCCCTGGGGGGTTACAGGCAGATGGCAACATGGAAGCTGAAATCAGTCCATGCTGAGATGGATGAGCAGGAAGGTAGGAGGAGGATGGCTTTGACCTCCTATTTGTGGATTTCTTGTGATGTGGAAAAAATAAACTCCGGACCATTTTCTGTAAGGAATCGACATTTTGTGCTACTGGCAAGAAAATCCATTCCTGACTGATAATGACGACAGTTTGTATTAAACATATCAGTACTTGCTTGGTGCCAGGTACTTCTCTCAGCACTTTATACACATTCCCCTAATTTTATCTCCAAAAAACATCCTGTGAGGAAATTTAAGTTTTTGACCCAATTTGATTAGCTAATAGATTTCGAGAACTTAAGATACTTGTCCAAACTTTCATGACAGTGAAGACTTAGCCCAGGTCTGACTTGCAGCTAAATGGTAACCACTCAGAGCCTAGGGTCAGTTCATTTCCTTGAAACTATACACAAGTTTTGAATTTTAATTGAGATAATCATATATTTTTAAAATATTTCATGGTTGAAGAGCTCTGGGGAAGGAAAAGAGCCTCTACAACTCTTGATATCATGAGAAATGTCCACTTTATCAAACTCATCTATCTTGTCTTTGAAACCACGTTTTTCTACATGTAAGCATCATGACAACGTTAACTGTATTTTTTAAACAATGTAAGTTGCAATTCCAAATTTGGTATCACCATTCTTAAACACCTTGACCAAAGGACAGAGCTTAAAAATATACAGTAAATAGAATACTGCCCTCGTCTAAAACATCCATGGCGTGGGCTTAATTCCTATTTAAAAATTAGTTCTGTTCTTGTTTTCATACTTTTCTGTGGTTATTGTAGAATATACAAGTTTTTTAAGCTTGCTTATGTTAACTAATAGATACTTTGACATATTTGGGGATTACAATAATATTACTGTGTCAGAAAGTGAAAGTACTATTTTGGATCAGCTAAAGTCACAGTCTTGGTGCTTGCTTGTTTAAGTTTTGATTGGGTTTTTGGTTAGGTTTGTGTTAGTTTTCTTTTTCCCTGAAACTGATCTGAACCTAGTCATTTAACTAAGCTTCTTTTCTTAAGTTAAATATGACCAGTTACAACATAAGAACACTTGAAGTTATGCCTTTTGCTTATGGGTTAGTATTTCTGGAAATCTGGAAAGAAACAACAGCCCTGCACATCACAGATACCGCCTGCTGGTGCACTTGCTTCAGTGTCCCAGTGGCCTTCCCTTACAAAACACAAGTTCAAATATAAAACTTTGTGGAGTTTCAATACAGTCACCACAGGGCACTCAACCAAGCATGAGGCCCTGTATGACTGCATAGACTCATACCCACAGAATCTTGCCAGCAAATGGATTTTAGAAACTGGATTTTAGAAATATTTACTTTTTTTATTGAGGAACATTAGTTTACAGCACTGTGTGATTCAGAGGCATGGGATCACACCTCCTCAGAGAAACTGGCCTTTTTTTTAAAAAAAAAAGATTTATTTATTTATGCATACAAGAACAGGGGTACAGGCCAAAGGTATGGGGAGGGGTAAGAGGATTTACCAGAGACAGTGGGGAACAGAACAGGCAGATTGACTGAAATACACTGCTGAGGGGAGCAACGAGCTAGTCAGGAGAGGTCTGCTGTGCCATGTGGGTAGCTCCCTGGCCGGGGATAGAACTCGTGCTGCAGTGGTTGTGGATAGCTTCATAGGTTGCGTCTTAACTCCTTGCACCACCCGGGAGGACCTGGCTTTTTTTTTTTTTTTTTTAAGATTTATTTATTTATACAAGAACCGGGGTACAGGCCAGATACACGGGAAGGTGAGAGGATTCACCAGAGACAGAGCGGGGAGCAGAAGAGCCAGACTGATGAAATACGCTGCTGAGGGGAGCAGAGGGTGAGACAGGAGAGGTCTGCCCTGCCATGTGGGGCCCTCGCCGGCCTGCTGGGATTAAACCGGCTCTGCAGAGGCTGCGGACAGCTTCACAGCGCGGCGCTCAACCGCCTGTGCCACCAGGGGAGGCCACTGGCTTTTTTTTTCCAATGGTGAAATTCAAATTGCAAACTACTAAAAAAATGGGAATTGCATCAATACTTTCCCTTGACCTAAAAAAAATTCATCCTTCTTAACAAGTTTTGTCTTTGGTTTCTAATGCTTGCTAAGATCATTAGTTAAAAATGTTGTACCCATTCTGTTTCAGCGGAATTAAAATGTATCCCAGGATTAAGTAAGTTTATTCAGTCACCTAAACTACCTTTGAGAGGATTAATCAGATAGTGTGAGGGTGAGAGTTCACTAGGAAATTAGAGTTTTCACTTAGCTGAGTTATAAATAGATTTGAAAACGAGAGAGAAAAAGTCACATAGCTTAGACAAAAGATTGTGTCAGAGCAGATGAGTAAATCTGAGACCATGGAGATTCTCAACTCTAGGGAGATTATTGAATCTCCAACTTGAGGCAGGGGACGAGAGCCTCCGGTACGCCTGATGTCACTGAGGAACCCAGGCCATCCATCACCGCCCTGCCTCGTTCTGCAGAACCCTGTGTCATAGGCCACCTAGTGGCATTACCAGGGCACCGGGAAAGACAGGGCCTGGAGGAGGAGAGAGGGGAACAACGTCAGGTTTGGCCTTGCAAATTGCTTAACCATCATCACTAACGATGACCTAGCATGGGGCTCTTTCTGATCTCAATTACACCTGTGCTCATAGGTGTGGCGGCTCTGAGAGGACAGAGCAGCCGGTCTGTGCACTGTTCTTGTTGCCACAAAGGTTATCCACTAGAGGCTCCTAACACTCCACTACCCACCTCGATTACACGCAACCAAAATTTGTGTCTCTTATGTGCGATGCGCTTAAGCTACCTTGTCCAGCCTTGAAGGGCGTACAAATCCTAAGTTGTACAAGCAAGGTGAAGAGAAGTCAAAATCACAGCCCGCTCTTCGTGGAGCTGTGATCACAGGGAACGGAGACCTTTCCAAGTTTTCTTTTTTGAGGGCCAGAACATTTTCAAAAGGGAGATATGCTTCTCATAAAAAATGCACATATGCGTAACAGAATGCAATAAAGTAAAATCTCCATGTTCCACCATGCTTAGGGTAGTCCTCCAACGAACCCATAGTTAACAGTAAGTTACCACTTGCATGCAAGTGGAATCATGTTTCCCCCATCCTGCAACACTTCTGAGTCACTGAGCACTAAGTGACTGCAGATCACCATATTCAGGCCCTGCGAGAGAACACTAGAACAGAATCCAGTTGGTATTCTACCAAGTTTGAGCCTCAGATATGATCCATGAATAAATGCATTCCTTAAAACATGAAGAGTGGTTACTTTAAGGAGCTCATCGAAGACACTTCTTTTACATTAAAGAAAATTTTGTGTTTGTCAATTAGGGCTTACTCATTACTGGGCTTCTCTGAAGCGAAATGACCAGGTATAGCTCTGCTACTCCTACCACGAGATCTTGGGAAACTTAATCTTTCTAGGTCTCAGTTTTGTCATCTATGAAATGAGGATGATAAAAGAACTAACTTCAACTAACTTGAGTTGTAATTGTTAAAATGAGGTAAGATAGCCATTGCGAAGCACAAGGGCCGGGAGATGATGTTTGAATAAAATATTGGCTGCCATTTTAACAAGCAAAATTCCTTTTGACACTACATTAACAAGACTGGCAAAGGTTTCTATACAGTTTTATCCTTCAGAGAGTAAGTCAAAGACACAAGCCCAGATGGAGCAAAATTAAGACAAAATTGGAACTTCATCATTCTGGTATTCAATGCAATGTTTACCATTGGAAGGGGGTGTGTTTGCTCCGAGGACCCATTTATATAACCCTGAAAGTGAGTGCCTTCCTGAATTTTGCACCCTCGTTACCTCTCATCACAGCTCTCTCAGCATATTCAAATGGAATATTACTTTATGAAAGTTCCAGAAATATGCTAGGGCTGCTTTTTCTTTTTGTGTCCAAATACCAAAAGCCCAAATTCAAAAGCACAAATCAAAGTCATATTTAAAGTGGTTTTTTTTTTTTTTTTTCACTTCCTTCCATCTATTTGATAGCTCAGTGTTACATGAAATGATTCCCTGGACTCAGCACACCTGGATGGATGTTCGCATCCCTTGGAGGGCAGATTGCTCCCAGGTGGCTCCAGCTCAGGCGGTGACAGAGCTAATCCTGCTGCTGGAAAGACTTATGAGAATCCCAAGTCACGCCTTGTCCTGGAGACTTTTTCATTGGCACTTTGTGCAATTCTCTCTCCAGTTCTCTTTGACCATGTGCATTTTCTCAAATGACTGACCTACTGCACCTTACTGAAAATCATTTGATATTCTTTATTTGCTTTTACCTTTCCCCTTTAAGTTTTGAACAGATGTTTTTGTCTCAAGTTCATCCAGAGTGTCAGTGTTTGTAGCTTTTGCTTAGTGTATTTGTGTGAGTTTTATGCTTTGATTTCTGTGCCAAATGACTTCGAGTTTGGTCTCATTGAGGTCTCAGCTTGTCAAACTACCAAGAAACTAACAGCCAGCCCCACAATAAGCAGATCCAAAAGAGATCCCAAAAGGACCTATCTGAAGAATACATCCTCAAGTTTTCTATTTAAAACCAACAACACATGACATTCAAAATAAAATTACTGCTTGAATTCTTGTCATATGCATGTATGGCCTATTTAAAATTCTAAGACAATATGTCTTAAAAGTTATCATCTTTCTTGTTACTCTGTGTACAGATGTATAGGAAAGTATTTCAGTAAGTAAATCTTCAGTACAATTCTTATCCTGGAGATCACATTCATTCATTCATTCATTCACTCACGAGGGAGTCAAAAAATTGAATCTTTGACAGAATTCAGTGTAGGCCCCAGCATGATGGGACAGGCTAATATGATAAGCATCTTTGGCCAAAAAAGTAAATGCTTTATTTCTCTGTGGTTGTAAATCTGCATCCAGGGACTGTTGGGACTTGAAGAGAATAAGTGAGGATATTTGTTGGGAATCGGTACCCGGGTGGGGGTAGTAGTAAGCTACTACCTGGGAGGGCCCAACTCTCCCCTGAAGGTCCACTTACTTTGCTACAAACAGTGGGCAGGTGGCAGGCCTGTCTGGAGTCTGCATCACTGGTAGCTATTGCTTATTTTCTAGGTAGTCCTCAGTGACCATTTTTATAAGTACAGTTCAATGTTGGATTGAAAGGTCTCATCATTTATAACAAAGGGCACAGTGTTAAAGCAATCTTCCCTACTTAATTCATTGTAAAACTCCTTAAATGAGAAGAAAAAAAAAAGGCTACATTTCAGGATGTGTCACGTGCAGCATTTTGGGGGCATGCACGTGGGGGAAGGGTGCTAAGCAGAAACGCTAACTTGCAAGGATTTGTCTCTCTTTCACCCCAGCACATCCTTGTGAGCTCTACTGCCGACCCATAGATGGCCAGTTTTCTGAGAAAATGCTGGATGCTGTCATTGACGGTACCCCTTGCTTTGAAGGCGGCAACAGCAGAAATGTCTGTATTAATGGCATATGTAAGGTATTGGGTATGTTTCCTTAATCTACAACTTTCTGAAGTGATTTGTGTTAATTTAGCAAATCAGAGATTCTAACCTTTGACTGGCATGGCATTTGCATGTGTTTTTATATCTGGTCTGGGATGTTCATCGAAGCCAGAATTTTGAACTGAGTAGTTTTCCTCCTGCTCTCATCTGCCTTTCTTGTGCTGATGTGCTCTGTGATATTATTTCGGGCATGCAGTGGGGACAAACGGAAGGAGAACCAAATGAAAGGAGGAATTCCTAGGAAAAGTCACCCCAGATTATTTCAAGCTTTTGAAAATATGCTTGGGTTACTTCCCAATAGGATGAATGTAGGGGAAGGAATGGACACAGAGTAGGTTTTCTGATCCAGTGGACCAGGTAAAGGAGGATTCAGAGTCCTCAGTGGTTTCTTGCAGGTCTTTTATTGGGATTTAGCAGGTACACAGCAGGCAGGGGTGCTGGGGGCCGGGAGATTGGCAGGCCTCCCAGCCCCCAGCAAGTCTTCACTCTATCTGGGCTCTGGTTCTCTCTTGGCTTCGGCTTCTGCTTCTTTCTCAGCTTCTGTTGGTGTCCCCGTGACGCCTCCCTTAAAAGCCCAGTCTCAGCCCAGGTGAATCCCATCTACCTATGCCCACACCCTATTCCAGGTGCCTGCCATCAGGCACGCATTCAGGACCGCAAGGATCCATCATCTATCCTGATGGGGGTAAAAGCCTGATACCTTTTACCTTACCCTACAGTGAGTTTGAAGAAAGGCTAAAATTAATAATAGTTTGGAGAGTGTGTTTCACAAAGCAATTTTACATTGTATTCTCCAGTGATTACCAGCATGATCTTAGGAGAGAGGTGTTAGGTAATTATGAACCCGCTCTTCCGATTCCTACTTAATTTTTCCACACTGACTCCATTAATCAACTTTGCCCTCTGAATTACTTGGACCTAATTAGTTAATACTTTCATGTGGACGGCCGCAGAACTCTTTCCCATGGCTTGCAGTCACTTTTGCAAGGACTGATGAACAAGTTTTACTATCCAATACCCAGGCATAAGTCTCAGTTTTTAGTCAATGAAAGAAAAACTGTATAGAAATACTTATTTATCTGTTAGTATAACATAACAGTTTAGTACTCCAGCTCCAGAATATGAACTCAGTGCTGTTACTTACTAGCTATAGGGTCCTGTATGTCTTTGTAAGACTACATTTCCTTTCCCAAAATTGGGATATACATTTACTTTCCTAATTGGGGCTGTCAGAAAGATTAAACAAGCGCCATCTATAGTAAGCCCTTAACAGAGCCCCCAGCACACAGATACTCTTAATAAATTATATTCGCTTTGCAAATATTTGGCATAGTTTCCCTTACACTGGGCTACATTGCCCCTGTGAAAGAAACCTTCCTGCCCACAAATGTTCAGCACCCTGGTGGGTATACTTTTCACCTTGAAGTTGCGCATTGATTTATGTCCCTCGTGAGCAAAGCACGGGAGCAAGGCGATGCTCCCAGGAATGAGTGAGCTAACAGGAGGCCGTCATCAGAAGCTAATTTTGAAAGAGCTTAGAAAAATGCTCTTTTAGATTCACTAATTACCATTGTACCTACAAAGAGCCAAACATAACTAATATATTTTTGGTTCGATCTGTTCCCCAGAGAGGGAAAAGATTTATTTAGCTAACTCAGGCCCCAAAACAACTCCACCACTGTCTAAAGCAGAGGTTCTCAAGCCTATTAGAATCACCTGGAGAGCTTTTACAAACTGCTGCCCTCTGGGCTCTCTTTCAAATCTACTAATTCAGAATCTCTGGGACTGGCTGTCTGGGTACTGATGTTTTCAGAGCTCTCTGGGAACTTGCCATATATAACTTGGGTTGAGAACTGCAGCCACACAGAAATGAATGGGATGCTAAAATTAGCTTTAAATACCTTTGCATGTATAGAGATGGCATCTTGAGCAGGCTTTAGAACACATAGGCATTTTGAACAAAATATAATGGGCCTTGGGATCCTCTCTTGAAACCTATTCAGTCAACTTAATACAATAAGCCAGATACTCTCAGCTTCCAGAAACTCCTTCTTTTTGGAAACCCGGTAAAACCTTTTAGAAACTAATTACCCACTGTCTCTACCACACTGAACTGAGTTTTTAAGCTGGAGAATTATGTCAAATCAAATTCACCTCTCACCCCCACATCTGTTCTGGGTCAACACAAATGCAACCCTTTTTGGCTCCTATGATCAGCCTGCTCTGTGCTGCATAAAATAAAAAGTCAACATGTGAATTTGTGCCTTTACAAAGTCATTGTCTTTGATCCCATTTGAGTCCTTAACCTTACTTGGTGATCTTCCTTACCTACCCTGTTAATTTCCTCTTACTCCTCTCCTGAAGACCTCTCGCAAAGCCATTTTGGTCATATCAGTGAGAGACTGAACACCTCCAAATCAATTCTTTCTCCCCAGAGTGGGCCATTTCAGATCTCTATCCAGAATGTCAGACCCTATCTCTTGGATCTCAAAGTTACGGTGAGGAAACGTTCTTGCTTCTGTCCATTTATTAAAGCGCTTTACCTGTCGTTAGCTAAGTGTAGTTCTCTCTGATTTCCCACTCAAAGTTTCTTTGGCTGGGAGGGAGTTTCATTTCAGCCAGGCATTCTTGCAGTCTCTCCCTTTGCCAAGGGACTGTAGACAGAAATGATGCATTCTGGGTGGGTTAGGTCATGGCGCCAGCTGTTATTTCAGTTCTTAGTCACTTAAGAATTTACAAGTAAAAGAATGTTATCTCATAAGCAAAAAATGAAAATTGGTAAAAATACATATTACTTATTCACTCATGTTGGGTGACCTGATTTCTCTTTAAGTTTTATTCAAGATAATATGCCCTTCAGTTCAAATGACAAGGTCAAGAATTGATTGATATATTCCACACAGGAAAGGAAATCACCGTCAGTATAAAAGGATATCAGGGCCTCCCTGGGGGCGCAGTGGTTAAGTCTCAGCACTATCAAGCTATCGCCAGCCAATGAGGCATGAGTTCGATCCCCGGCCAGGAAGGTGATCAACACAGCGCAGCAACACTCTCCTGTCTCGCCCGCTGCTCCCCACAGTATATTTCAGTCAATCAGCCTGTTCTGCTCCCCACTCTGTTTCTGGTGAATCCTCTTCACCCTCCGCACCTCTGGCCCACACCCCAGTTCTTGTATGCATAAATAAAATAAATCTTTAAAATAAAATAAAAGGACATCAGAATAAAAATGTTTGTAAGACATTATGCTACTTTAAATAAGCCAGTTGCAGAAGGACAAATGCTGCGTGATTCCACCATGAAAATCTAAATTATTTGCAAGTTATTCATTTGGGGGTAATATCTAAAATGTGTAAGAAACTCCTACAACTCAGTAGCAGGGAAAAATAACTCAAAAAATGGGAAAAGAACTGGAATAGATATTTTCTAAAGAAGGCATAAAATGGCCAAAAGTTATATGTCTCTAAACATGAGGGAAATACAAATCAAACTCATATGTGGTCCCCAGAGGTGGAAGGCAGTTACCATTGGAAACTTGATGTCAAGGGTAGTATTTCAGTTATTCACAAAGTTCTCGTCCTGGAGATGGGCTGCGCAGCTTGGTGCCTATAGCTCACAACACTGTGTTGTGCACTAAACATTTGCTAAGAGGGTAGATCTCATGTTAGATGCGCTTATCACAAGAAAGAAGCAGATGTAGGGAAAATTTTGGAGGTGATGGGTGTCTCTTATCATGACTGTGGTGATGACCTCACAGGTGCTTATGGATTCCAAACTTATCAAAATGTGCACATGAAATATGTGCGTGTTTATCAATTATATCTCATTAAGCTGTTTATTTTTTAAAAAGTCAGTGTGACGGGAGTTAAGTGATTCATTTTTTTAAAAACACAAATGCCCATTGGGTGGCCATCTAGTCTCTTAAGAGTCCCGTCCGAAGAGTCTGTCCACATTTGGTGACAGCAGCAGCAGAGCCCCTCAGATGTCCCCGAAGGCAGAAAGACAGCCTTGCTGTGGGCCCTGTTTCCAGATCACGGGGTGACAGGCAATGACATCTGTTTATTATTCCCTGAGGACCCTTGTGTTTTATGTACAACTCTCAGGACTGGCTTCTATCTTCATCTATCTCTGCTACATATGTAAGCAGTGTTGCTATGCTGTGTGCAGCTGATGGGAGAAGTAAATAAGGTGAAGTCATCCCCATTTAATATGCAGTGGGACAGCAGATTGGGGCGTGGTGTCTCTTTCCTCACCTAGCACCCCCTACCCCAGGTATAAAGGCAGGTGTTGCTGGAGAAACATGGTCACTCAGCAAAGGAGATGAGCACAAGAAACTGTTTTGTGGCTTTCTTTCCTTTATTCTTCACACTTTTTAACCTGTCCTCTTCTGGTAGAGATGTAAAAAACATTCTTAAAAATGAACACGTCTGAGTAAAGTTTGTTCAGCTCATCTCAAGTCAGTGAAGTAATGAAGGTCCTTGGGACAAGATTTGTCAAGTTCAGCTTATGAGAGGGTACTCGAGCTTGACATAACATGTCACGTACGAAGATTTGGACTTCTGTACATGACCGCTGAAGGCATCTGTCCAAACAATTTATTTTCCTTCCATTGTGATTAGTATGATTAAGTGTTGGTTGTTTTTTTTTTTTTTTTTAAGTAAATCTCTTAGCACTTTATTTTTTTCCTCAATTGGGTCAAGAAGCACACACTCTTTAAATTTAAAGAAATCAGATGATGAATCTGAAAAATGAAGCTGGTTTCTGTCAGTGGGCATCGTCTGTTTAACTGTGGGGAGCTATATCTAAAATTCAAACAATTATTCTTTTCAGTAGATTGGAGGTGGCTTTAAAATAAGCAAGAACATGATCTTTAGGAAAAAAAATCAAAATAACGACTGGGCACAAATCTTCCCCAACAGGAAAGAGAACCATGACTGATAGAATATGGTTTAGTTTTGCAATTTTTTTTTTAACCTCTGCAGTGTGGTTAGGAGCACAGGTCCTAGAAGACAGCAAGCGTCATGACTTTCCATCTGAGTCGGGATTCTTTGGTCTCTGACTGCACAGCACCCCCTGTTTAATTGCTCCCCTTTTCAGAATGGGAATCTTAGGATGGGAAAGATTTGGCCATATAGACGGACTGAGGCGAAGGAATCGGCAGAGGGAAAGCTGATGAGTCAGTGGACAGTGACACAACCCTGAGGAGAGATGGGTCCAGAGCACAAGAGCAAGGGTAGTCTTGGCTGAGCAAAATAATCAGTCCTTCCCCTGTGGAGTGGAGGAGGCCGGGATGGCTGGGACATGGCTAAGTGCAGTGGGGACTGGGGCCTTGGAGGCTCCTAAGTGTCTGGTGCTTGGTCCTCTGCTCAGAGATTTCATCCCATGCAGCTTAAAAGCCAGGTTGTCTTCCATGGCTGTTGATTCACATTCTGTCCTCAGACAGAAGCAAAGAGATCACTCCAGTGTGGATTGGAAAGGGAGTGAGGAGGCGAACTACAGGTAGAGCAACTGCATCAGCCCTGGGAAGTCTCAGCAGAAGGGGAGGGGCATGAGGTTTGCCTGTCCGAAGGGACTTGCTGTCCCAACACTGATTCCGTACACTTCCATAGTTAAATTTTCGGAACTGAGTTTCAAATCAGCATGTGACTTCAGGAAAATTAGAGCCTCTCAGTATGTCTGAACAGTTTATTTCCTTTACCGTCCCAGGTGCTTTGGTTACTCCTCTGGCTGCTGCCAGGGAAAGGAAACATTTGTTCTTGTATTTGCCACCAGCCCCAAGTTCAGCAGGAGGAAAGGGAAGGCAGGAGCCCCAGGGAGGTGTGGCTCCTCCTGCCCGCACCCCTCACCCCAGCTCTCTCCCCTGCAGGCTGTGGGCTGTGACTATGAGATCGACTCCAGTGCCACCGAGGATCGCTGTGGTGTGTGCCTGGGGGATGGCTCTGCCTGCCAGACCGTGAGGAAGGTGTTCAAACAGAAGGAAGGATCTGGTAAATGAACAAATAAATCTTTGAAGCAATAGAGGAATTGAGAAGGGGGTGGACAGGGCAAGATTGATTGCTGTTATCTTTAAGTTGATTGTGACTTTCAGAGAATTCAATATGGAATCTAGCCTTCACTACAAAAGAGATAAGGGCTCTTTGGCAGTTCTGGGAAAGGGGTTGATTGCTAAGCAATTGCAGGAAGTGTCACACTAACTAGAGGTTTAAATGGACTGGTAACGAACTATAGAAATGGTCTCTGAAAGTATAGTCTAGCAGTTTGCTTGTTTAACTAAGGGCTACAATGATACTTTCACATGCATTCTAGAGTACAGTCATGTCTGCCCCAAAAGGTACGTGAAGGTTGAAATATTGGTCAGAAGGGTGGTGAGCACCCTCTGCTCATTCAGAGGGGTGAGGAACCACCCCAGATAGATGACTGAGAGATGATAGATAGGTAGATAGATAGATAGATAGATAGATAGATAGATAGATAGATAGAAAGTGTTGCTAAGGACTTTCACACTGAGAAGTAGCATCTTCCCTCCCCGTGGATTTCAGAAACTCTCTAGACTGAGAGGTCAGAGCTCACACTGTGTGCCAGTCCACCAAGCTTTGGCAAGAAGTTCCTTGCCTTCATCCGTTTGGTGTCAATTGAATTGTACATTTGTTTTATTGTGATATGGATGCTCCCAATAAATTCTTAATGTGGTGATGAATAAATAAATGAATGAATGAATAAATAAAATGGACTGGTGCCTATGCTCAGGAGCAGGTGTCGGAATGTAGTCCCTGGGAGAGGATCCAGGGCTGAAGACTAGTGAGAGAAATGGAGCCACAACTTGGGGAGAGAAGAGATCAAAAACTGTTTTAAAAGATGCAGACATAGGGCAGGTTCTGTATGTGGGGGCAGAAAGCCAGCAGTGGTTTAAAGGCAGCAGGATCAGGGCACACCTGCAGAGGAAAGGCAAGGCAGGGCTGCTTCCGGTCTGTCTGCATCCCAAGTGCTCCCTCAAAGGGGGTCCCACCCTGTGGTCCCTTATGTCTCCCCAGGTAGCTTCTGCCACCTTAAGTCCCCCTACCAACCTATACTCTGCTGGTTTGTATCACGATTACCTTTTACAATGTTCCTTCTTTGTGCAGCTTCGGGCTACTAATAATCCTTGGGAGTGGAGAGCCCTTCCTCACCCCAAATCAGATTTGATACCCCGCATATTTGTCTTCAGTTAAAACACTTCTTGTAGAAACTTAGCACCGACAGTGATTTGTAGCTGTTGGGTTTTGGCAGGAAGCTTAATGTAGACCTGGGGAAGATGAAGGTTACTCTTTGTTTAGGTTCCCCCGATAGGAATTCCAGTGCATATATTTTATTGAGGGGTCAGGGAAGTGAAACAGGGAAAGGAATGCAATCAAAAAAGAGGGTGTCATTAAGCCAGTGTTGAACTTGTACATCAGACTTTTCCCACTCCAGGGGTGAAGGAGTTGGGACAGTAGACGCCAACTCTCACCAGTCATTGCATGAGGCCATTTTGGGCTGCAGGGGGTGGGCTCAGTGTGTTATATTCTCTGGATGCCGTAGAGATGCTGATGCTGGGAGTAGGGAGTCCAGTGTGCACTACCCCATAGGACCCTTGGGGAGGGGGCAGTGTCTCAGCAGAGGGAGATGCCAGGCACAGAAGTGATGAGTGCATTCAGATACAGTAGCACCCCTTTCCTGGGTAGGTCTTGGCATCCATCTCCTAGGCAGGCTTACCCCCCAGAATGAAGTTACTTAGTTGCTTCCCAGAGTATGGGGTGCATTGATTAAATGACCTCTTGTTCCCTAGTAAGCATAACAGTGGATAATCTAAATTTATTTAAATTCCATCCTATCTTTTCATCTTTGACTATCAAATTAATAAGATTGAATTGTAAAATGAAATGTTTGTCTTTCCCTTTGGAATTATCTTTGGAGGATTATAGCCCACATCCTTGATTGTTGGCCTCATTATGCATGAAATAAGTATTCTTTGCATTATGGATTAGGAATGTGAGTAAATTAAAGTCCTAAGTCTTTTCCTTGAGCTGGTTATGAATCAGTAGTCTGCTGTCTCAGGCAAGGGTATAAAGGCCAATGGGAATTCATCAAGTATTATGAGACACAGTTTGGTCCCCCTAATAGGACCTGCCCATTTGGAAACTGGCATAAAGTTGTGCCTGGACCCAGCTTCTGAGCAAATCACCCCAGCTGGATACTCATTCCCAATTTCCCATGTCTCTGAGTGTCCAAGAGAGAGGGAGATGTCAGGGCACCATCAGGTGACAGACGCAGGCTTTGTTTCTGCACTGAAAAGCTAGTGCATGTCCAGTGGGAAATGACCAGAACCTTAAGACCATGTTTCATCTGGAAAGGTTAAAGGAACAAAGAACGTCTAACTTAGAAAGGGCAAAGTAGGGGCCTCCCTGGTGGTGCAAGGAGTTAAGCACAGCACTATGAAGCAGTCCGCAGCCTCTGCAGCATGAGTTTGATCCCCGCTGGCCAGGGAGCAATCCACATGGCACAGCAGACCTCTCCTGTCTCACCCGCTGCTCCCCCTCAGCAGTGTATTTTAGTACATCTGCCTGTTCTGTTCCCCACTCTGACTCTGGTGAATCTTCTCACCGGCCCCCCCCCCCCACACCTCTGGCCTGTACCCCAGTTCTTGTATGCATTAATAAATAAATCTTTAAAAAAAAAAAAGAAAGGGCAAAGTAATCAAATATCAGAGCTGGCAGGGACATCAGACATCATCTCATGCAAGCCCCAGCGTCATGTAGATGACATTCAAAGAAGTTGATGATGTCATAGAGCTCACTCATGCAACGAAGAAATTAGAACTCAAATGTTCTCACCTCTAGGCCCCAATCCTCTCTCACAATGCCATCCCCAAAATCCATGTTCTTTTCTTTGATGGCAATGGTAATGGTTCTTAAGATATAGGACACATGCATAAATACTTAGCATAGAGTTTGGCAAATAGAGACAGTGCTAATTCCCTTTCCCCCAGTTTGCCTCCTACCACAACAACCAATAAGCAAGGTAAAGAATGTGGCCAGAATTGATCATCTTTAAATGATGTCCGCTATGCTTTTTCAGAAGGCTGGATGAGAAAGTAAAATATAAATTCAGATTTCAGCAAAATGTGAGAAAAAATTCTAATTTATTGTCCAGCACATAAAAGGGTATGTTCGGAATGCATTTCCATCACAAGCTAGAGTCAAGAGCACCAGGTGGCAATCAATCCAAGATTCCCTCCAGAATTCTTTGATGAATTTAAGCTGTGATTAACTCACTTCTGAGAGTCTGTCTTTAACGTGCAGGTAATGAGGATAAGGAAAAGGATGTAACCAATGCAATATTTAGAAAGATTAATCTGATAGCTGCAAAAAATGGGGGAGCAGAGATGCTAATGGAAAGCCACCCAGGGACTGTAAAAATTTTGAACTAAACATGCAATCACAGAAAAATAAATGCTGGATCAACCACACAAGCTTCAGAATCCAATTTACATTTTTTCATCCTCTTTATAAAACTGAATACTGAGTCACTCAACTGAGAATTCTGCTCCTGGCCAACATCTCTAAAATTCCCTATCATCAGTGCTTCTGCCAATCCCACTTACTACCCATGAGGGACACAGGGCTTTGAATGGTGGAGATGCTGGCAAGAGGGTAAGTGTCAGATCAGAAACAGGGTGTGTTCAGCTACGCTAGTGTGACTTTTTCATGATCATATCTTCTCTCCTTAGGTTATGTTGACATTGGACTCATACCAAAGGGAGCAAGGGACATACGGGTAATGGAGATTGAGGAAGCTGGAAACTTTTTGGCCATCCGGAGTGAAGACCCGGAAAAGTATTACCTCAATGGAGGATTTATTATCCAATGGAATGGGAACTACAAGCTGGCAGGGACGACCTTTCAGTATGATAGAAAAGGAGAACTGGAGAAACTGATGGCCGCAGGTCCCACCAATGAGTCGGTGTGGATCCAGGTAAAGCAGAGGGGAAGGGAGCTGCAGATATGTACATTAGTTGGCATTTTCTAATTTTCTTTTCCTAGATGTTTGCTAGGAGACATTAATCAAGAACCCTTAAAGCAATTTCTAACAAGGAACAGGGAGGGGAGCACAGTTAGTTTATGCCATTGATCTTTTCTCATCCAAAAATTGCTTAAACCTCCATAAGGAAATGCCAGGGGCCTTCAAATCATCCTTCAAGAGGTTTGAGCTTCATTATGATTGACACAGGTTGTTTCTATGAGGATGAGTCCCTCGAGGATAAAAGGACACCATCAGTCTGTGTCACTCAGGGGGAGTTGCCAGGTAGTTTCCAGCAAAGGTGAAGAACTAACATGGTTCTTTCACAAGTCATAATATAGTTGCCTCAGGCTAAAGGTTTGACTTGGTGAAATTCATCCAGAAGAGGGGTTGAATGCAGTATGTGCTCTTCAAAAGTGTCTGTGATTTGTGTTTCATGTTAGCAAAGAACAACTGAAAAAGAATGGATTAATAATGCCAGGAGAGGCATAGCTGCTTGGGGGTGACAGGTAGCTCGGGAGGGGTCAGACCCAATGACACGCAGGTGATAGAGGGAAGCAGAGCCAGAAGATCAGAGCACTCTTGGAAGTCAGAGCTCAAGGCTTGACGACTGCATTCCGAAAGTGTCAGGAGATCTTGCAATTTACCTGCCACGTGGGAAAGGATTTAGAGGTGGGCATCCCCAACCCATGAAGCAGCCCAACTCACAACCTCTAAGTTTAAGATAAATCCATTTTAAATGTCTGCTAAGTAAATTGCTGTAGAAGAGGACGGTCCTAAGAGTAGTATACTTAGGCTAAAACTTTTGACTATTTTTACCCCAGATCTGCTTACTATTCTTTAAAAGAACAAACCAGCATGCAAGCTAGAGAAGAGTATCATAAGGCAACAACAATGGTAAAATTAATGCCTATTGATTACTAGCTACATGCCAAGCACTGTTCTAATCATATCTAATTATTTTACATTCATCATTTGAATTTCACTGAAACCCAACAAATAAAAACCCTATTATTATCCTCACTTTGTAAATGGGGAAACTAAGGTACAAAGAGATTAAGTAACTCACTTATAATTACAAAGTTAGTGAGTACACGGGGGTACAAGGTGATGAATAGTGAGGGGCACATCTCACTATTCCCTCAAAGCAATTTCCAAATGATGAGATCTCTCTGTTTACATGAACTGGAATTCCATGGAAATTCAGCCAGTAATAACAGAACGGAGAAGACTAGATAGCCATCGATACAGATATAGATGTAGAGAAAGGTAGAGTAGGGGCAGGGCTGTCTTCCCTTAATGTCATTTATTCCAGTGCATGCACCATAGTTACTTCCAGGTCACAGATGCTGTGAGGTGCATTTACATGACAGAGCCAGTATAAAGTCATGGCTGAGTTTGACATGACCCCTCTCTTGCTTCTTAGCTTCTATTCCAGGTGACCAACCCTGGCATCAAGTATGAGTACACAGTCCGGAAGGATGGCCTTGACAATGACGTAGAGCAGCTGATGTACTTCTGGCAGTATGGCCGCTGGACAGAGTGCAGCGTGACGTGTGGGACAGGTGAGAAACAGCTGCTGTCACTAGAGCCCTGTGGGCTTCAGAACAGGCTGTAGAGGCAGCGTGAACTGGTTGTGCGCTCTGGATCTGCAGGGCACTGCAAATGGCTCCAGGCTCTCTGTAGGGGGTGGGTGTGCTGGTGCTGGTCTAAAGGGAGAGGCAGTTTTTCTTTGCCATCTTTCTGTACTGGTCTTCATGGAAGGTTTTGTTTGAAGAAGGGTTGCATGTCTTCTAAAAAATCCAAAGCAGGAAGACTTAGGAACCATCGTACTGATGGAGGCCGAAGGACCACAAAAGTAGAAAACCCACTCACGTTTGCTGTACATAAAGGCCAAAAGCAAAATGAAACCAGCTCTCTGCATTCCCAGCCCAGTCTTTTTTTTCTATCTCCAGTTTACCAATTTTTTATCTCTACTTGGAGAGTAGTTTCTTCTCACAAAGTCAAGCTTTGGAGAGATTCCACTGCCAAGTATTAGGTGGGGAGATTCTGCTACCGTAACAAAGAAATAAAAATGTCACGGGTTCAACACTGTGAAGGTTTACAGTTGTCTTTCCTTATCCAGGGTTTCAGTTCCTGCGGCCAACCATGACTTGAAAAATGACATACTGTAAGATGTTTTGAGAGCAAGAAAGATCACATTCACTTTTTATTACAGTGTATAAAAAGTTATAATTGTTCTGTTTTATCATTATTGTGGTTAATCTCTTACTGTGTCTAGTTGATAAATAACCTTTATCATCAGTATGTATACATAGGGAAAAAGTGCAGTATATTGAGGATTTGCTACTGTCCACAGTCAGGCATCTACTGGGGATATTGGAACATATCTCCTGTGGAGAAGGGGGAACTACTGTATTTTTTTTAAAGATTTATTTATTTATGCATCCAAGAGCTGGGGTGCAGGCCAGAGATGTGGAATGGGGGTGAGACCCACCAGAAACAGAGTGGGGAGCAGAACAGGCAGATGTACTGAAACACACTGCTGAGGGGAGCAGTGGGCGAGTCAGGAGAGGTCTGCTGCACCATGTGGGTTGCTCCCTGGCCAGGGATCAAACTCATTCTTCAGTGGTTATGGATAGCTTCATAGGTTGCATCTTAACCCCTTGCACCACCAGGGAGACCTGGAACTACTGTATTTTTAACTCAGTGTGCGTTGACACAAGTTGCCTTCCCCGCTTCATCTTGTAGCTAAGACATCTGAATGTGTGGCTTCCAGTTTGCCCCACCGGGAAGGAGAAATGGGAAAGGCGGGCTGGCTGTTATTAATGCTCTTGGCCTGCAAGTGACATTGTTCACTTTGCTCTCATTCCATTGCTTGCCCTTAGCCCTGTGGGCACTACTGGCTGGACACTGGATGGGAGCTTATGGACATTTGTAGAGCATAACTGTCTCCGCTATGGTGTTTAATGAATTTACCCACAGCCTGCGAGGGTTGGGGCCATCTCTGTCAAGTTCTTAGGACTTTTGGGGGTTTTACTAATAGTGTTTTGGGGGCGGTTAATAGACCGATCTATGAGGAAGCCACTGCCTCTCTTTCTCCTTTTGGATCATGTCTATGTCTGTTCTGGAACTTTCTTGAGTCTCTTATAACTACTACCTGTGCAGTAGGGCAGCTGCAGGGTAGACATGGCTCCCTTTTCCTTCCCCCAAATTAACGAGGGTCATGAAATCAGTGTTTATAATTCTCTTGTTTGTTGTTCAGTCCTTTTATTATAAATGTGTGTAGCTGTGCAATGGGCCATCTGGCATCGGGTACCTGGTGCTTCTCAGGCATTTTGACTGTCTGTTATACTCTGTGCATCCCTCTTGATCTTTCTGTTTTCATTCAGCATTATGCTTTTGATCTAAGTCCACACTGATGAAGGTAGCTCTAGTACATTCACTTGAAGGGCTCCATGCTACGGCATTGTGTGAGCGCACAATTTATTTTACAGTTATTTTACAACCCATTATTTTACAGTTATAGACATTTCTCTGCAGAACAATTGTCAACACCTAATTGGCTTATTACCTATTATTGGAGCTTTTTAATATACACTCACACACACTAGAAGTAGAATTCCCGCTTCAAGCAGTCAGTGCATTGTGCATGAGTGAAGTGGGGTTAAAGGGCTGCTGTGGGATATTTCAAACTTTCTAGGGAAGCAGAAATTTTAAAGGGAATCACAGCTGTACTGAACATCACTTGTATATTATGTGAACTACTAGCTCAAGGTATTTCAAAGTTTCAAGATTAGATCTCATTGCATCCCCTTCAAGGACATCCTATCTTTGTGAAACTAGTTTTTCAGTTTCAAGGACCATGTGGTAATAGTCAGTACTATACCTGCCTAAGATGATCAGGATACTGTAGGGAGATATTATAGTTCTTTATAATAAAGACTCTTAAATGATCTTTCACTTCTAGTATCCAATAAGATTTACTGAGTATTTACAATTGCATGAAAAAAGGAAATCTTCTGGAAATAACTTGAATTTGATTTTCATTTGTACTGAATAGCCTTTTCCAGTAAACACTTCCAGACAAGCAGCTAATTTAGTGCTGTAAGAACATATTGGCTGACTGGCATTCTTTCTGCCCAACCTCCAGGTGTCCGCCGCCAGACTGCCCACTGCATGAAGAAAGGCCACGGCATGGTGAAAGCTACATTCTGTGACCCAGAAACACAGCCAAACGGTAGACAGAAGAAGTGCCATGAGAAGGATTGCCCACCCAGGTAGCCGTTGATACCAGCTGCAACCCTGTGTCTGCCTAAAATTATGATGTCAGATTTAGTAGGAGTCCATGTTCAGTGATAAGGGCTGTGTGGCTTTCCCCAAACATTACCAAATGCCTCCTAGAGACACAGTCAGTCTTCAGGGAGGACTCCAGTAATAGAGGTATTCGTTTGCTGCTGGCCATATTCATTCAAGATATTGGGATCCTAGTGCGTAGGGCCCTCAACTTCGTAGAAATAGATCTACCATATAACCCAGTAATTCCACTCCTCCGAACCTACCAGTGGATACAAAAACATTAATTTGAAGGGAAACCTTCACCCTTACATTTATTACAACACTATTTACAATAACTAAGATGGAAATGACCTAAATGCCCAAAAGCGGATGACCGAATCAAGAAAATGTGGTAGATATACACAGTGGAATAAGATATTCAAAAGTATAAACATGCCACTCGCAGCAACATGGATGGAGCTGGAAGGGATTATGCTCAGTGAAATAAATCATAAGGTAAAAGATAAATAGCAGATGATATCACTTACAGGAGGAATGTAGGGAAACTGAACAAAGGGTCAAAAAAAGAAGACAAAACTTGTAGGCAACTATGGATCTGAGGCTTAAATCAGGGAAAGGGGAGGAAAAGGGATCAAAACAAGGGTGGGAAGAGCACCAGGGACCGTGGTGGTGGATCAGAGGTGCTGTGCTGGTGGGAAATTTACGGGGACTACACCTGAGGGGAGAAATCAAATACTATACAAAAATGAACAACAATGTAAGGAAATAAATAAAAGGAAAAAAAAACACAAGATATTGGGATCCTAGAAGGTCCTGGGTTGTTTTTATGAGGGGCTTGTGCTGAAGAGAGAGAGAGATGTGGGGTGGAGGGAGAGAAGGAAAGGGGAAAATGCAGGCAGGCAAGAAGAAAGGAAGGATAAATGAGAAGAAAGAAAGAGATTTTAATTCTGGGGTGTATCAGTCTCCAGTGACCTTAAACGGGTATGTCTGGGCTATAGCTTCCAACATTCATTCCAGTTCTAAGAAGACGCACTAAGGGAGTCCTGTTAAGCAGAATGGGACTAGTTGCTACCATCCATCAAACAGGTGAGTCGGGACAGGTCAGCTTAGGCGAGCAATGTTGGTCTCTTACAGGTTCAGTTAGGACCCCCAGGCCAGGCCATCTCTCAGTGAGGTGTGTTCTCTTTGAGTGTTGTGGTTTCTGTGGGCAAGAGGTGGGCTGTGAGACAGGACCTCAGACCCCACCTCTGTGGAGGCAGGACAGAGGTACTGTAACCACCTCACTAATCACCTCTAAGCCCTTTGCTGGGAAGGAGTAGGGACTTCTGGGGATGAAGGGCAAGCCCTAGGTTTTGTGTGTAGTGTCGTTTTTATTATACCTTCTAAGGGAAGAGGGGGCCAGGAAAGTGAACCTATCTTAGAGCTACCAACTGCCTGGTACTCTACAGACTTCATGTGCTGTAGACCATCATATTCCTTCTACCTCAGAGCCAATGACCCCCTTCCACTACATTCCTTTGCACTCAGTAAGTATCAACCACTACCTCTACACACAGCCTGGGATTCCTCCCCCATTCTTCAGAGCCACTCTCTCTTGTGCATTGGCTATTCTCTGAAAACCACAGCTATTTATTTCCTGAATCAAATTTTATCCTTGGAATTCAAGTTCTGTCTTTTATTGTTTGATGTCCTTTGGCCTTAATTTCTCCAGCAACTATTTGTTAAGCGCTTGTTAATTCCTTTAAGAGATACAATGGTATAGGGGGCCTCCCCGGTGGCGCAGCGGTTGAGCGCTGGGTTGCGAAGCCGCCCGCGGCCTCTGCGGCGCCGGTTTGCCGGTTTGCCGGTTCGATCCCCAGCTGCTCCCCGGCCACCTCCTGCTCCCCGGCCACTGGAGGAGGGTCCCACATGGCGCGCAGACCTCTCCTGCCGCCCGCTGCTCCCCTCAGCAGTGTACTTCAGTCCTTCTGCCTGTTCTGCTCCCCGCTCTGGCTCTGGTGAGTTCTCTCACCCTCCCGCGCTTCTGACTATACCCAGTGCATGTATAAATAAATAAATAAATCTTAAAAAAAAATTTTCTCTTAAAAAAAAAAAAAGAGATACAATGGTATTAATAACCATGTAACAGTTACCTTGTATTTGAGTGATATTGTGATAGATAAAAATGCATATATTTTGTCATGTTCTGGTTCTCAACAGAGCTCCTCAAACCCCTGGACTCTCCAAAGAGTTGTGTCCTTTTTTCTCTTTTTAAATTGAGATAACTTTGGCTTACAACATTATGTGATTCAGAGGGTTAGCCTCTTTGGATGTTTGTTACCACCATACTCACCACCAAGGCACCCAGATTCCTCCACCATCATCCGTGGGGTGCCCTCTACACACTATTCTCCACTCTCCCTCTCTTGCTTGCAGCCTCAGTTCTACAGATAGATTTCTAGGGTTTGATTTAGGTTTAGGTTGTATGCGACCCTTTGTTTCATTTCTCTGTATTCCATATGTGAGTGAAATCATCTGGTATTTGTCTTTCTCCTCGAAACTTTTTTCACTTAATATGATGCAAAGATATTTTGGAATAGCACAAATATGTCACTTCCTAAGGGAGCTACAGTCAGGCAGACTATGTGAGATACATGGCCACAGGCAAGGCCGGGCCATAGTCAGAACAGGAACCTCAGCCAGCATCTGGGTTCCTCGCCCAGTGCCCTGCCTCCACATGTTCCCTGCCTCCCTCCGGGCTTTGGGTTGAATTCACATCTCTTCATCTCTCAGTTCTAAGAGCAGCTTCCTTCCGGTGCTTCTTAAACTGAGTACAGAGATGCAGCTTATTGATTATGAGCAAAAGTTTGAAATGGATCAATTATGCAGCCCTGCTCATATAATATCGTCTGTAAATAATTATAGATGATAGTTTTGTTTCTTCTTTTCCAGTCTGGATTCCTTTTATTTTCTGTTGTTATCTGATTGCTCTAGCTTAAACCTCTAATGCTAAATTACATAAGGATAATGACAGTGGGCATCCTTGTCATGTTCCTGATCTTAATGGCGAAATTAATTTTTTCACCATTGAGTATTATAGTGGCATTTATTATGTTGAAGTAGTTTCTTCCTATCCCCATCCTTCTTTTTTTAAAGTCAAAGTTTTGCCAAGTTGGCTTTTTTTTTTTTTTCCCCAAAGATTTATTTATTTATTTATACAAGCACTGGGTACAGTCAGAAGCGTGGGAGGGTGAGAGAATTCACCAGAGCCAGAGCGGGGAGCAGAGCAGGCAGAAGGACCAAAGGACACTGCTGAGGGGAGCAGCGGGCGGCAGGAGAGGTCTGCGTGCCATGTGGGACCCTCAACCGGGTTCGAACCGGCGCTGCAGAGGCTGGGGGAAGCTTCTCAACCCAGCGCTCAACCGCTTCGCCACCTGGGAGGCCCACCTATCCCCATCTTGTTAAGAGTTTTTATGATAAATGGATGCTGAAAATTGTTAAATGATCTCTCTGCACCTGGTGAAACTATTATATGATTTTTATCTTTACTTTTGTTGATGGAATGTATTACACTGAGTGATTTACCTGTGTTAAACCATCTTTGCATCCTGGGATAAGTTCTACTTGATCATGATGTGTAATCCTTGTGATACATTATGTAATCTGTGCATTGGGTTTCTCTTTCCAGTGGTTGAATTAAATGTTTGTACACTTTTGGACATCTCTCACCTTTCTGTGTGTGTCTGCAGGTGGTGGGCCGGTGAGTGGGAAGCGTGTTCAACAACATGTGGCCCCTACGGAGAGAAGAAACGAATCGTGCTGTGCATCCAGACCATGGGCTCCGATGAGCAGGCCCTCCCGGCTAAAGATTGCCAACACTTGCTAAGGCCCAAGACTCTCATTTCCTGCAACAGAGACATCTTGTGTCCATCAGACTGGACAGTGGGCAATTGGAGTGAGGTGAGCTCAGGGGTTAACAGGGAAGCTGGCTTTATTCAAGCTTTATCAGCACCCCCACACCCATTTCTCCCATTGACTATCCAAGGTGATCCTAAACAAAATGGCCAATATTTATCCCCTCTGGCCTGTTTTTTGCAGCTCGTACTACTCGGTATCCTTTCTTATTTCCTCTCCTGACAGATCGTCCTCTCACTTGTCCAGCAATCAAATGCCTGCTAGGGATGAGCGGGTTCCAGCTCACAGAGGCTCATGATAGTTAACTGATAAATCCTCTGGATTTTTTGCTGATCCATTGTTAAGTTATTGGTAGCAAATCAAGGTTCACCACCCACCCCAACAACTGATTTGCTAAACATTGACCAGTTCTTACGTTTCACTAGAACTGCAATAGTTAGTGAACACCAAAGGCATGCCATTTTAGTAGGGGAAGGATGAGGAGTGCATCTGATAAATAGAGAAACTTTCAAATCATCCCTCTGTTCACATGTGTCAGGTCAGATTTAACCAAGGTTTACGATACTTGCTATTATAGTAACACAAATCCAAATAAATGTTTTATTTTCCCAAAAGCAATGGGATCTAATTCTGAATATAATTAGAAATTAGAGGGCTAGAAGACTATAAAACAAACCAAAAACCGAGGCTTCCATTTTCGTTAGGTCACCGTGGAACCTGGTACTCTCAGGCCTGGTGCTCCAGAGTAAGTAGGAGAAGTAAAGTCCTTTTCCAAGGGCCCTGAAGTCTCCAGTGGCCTCAGATCTGCTTTCTCTGCATGTTTTAGTCAGTGACCTAAGTAATGGCTAGAAAATAAGTGATCTTTTAAAAAAAAACCAACAAGGCAGATTTTATAGATTGTTAGTGACTTATTATGAACTTCCTTAGGAAGCCACGTGATTTCCATAATAATGCCACCATTGTCCATTTTAGGAACTTCTCTTCTGACTTCCCTTTGGAGAAATAGAAAGCATTTGAGTCAGAAAATGTTTTAGCATTAAGTCATAGAAAATCAATTAGCATTAAGTCTGAAGAATAAGGGATATGATCAACTTGCATAAAACCTTTGTGCTTAAAAAGTGATATTCGTTTATAACTAAATGAGATTTCTTTTCATCATTTTCATAAGTGCTCTGAAAGTATTATCTAAAGAATTCTGAAAATTGTATAAGCGAAGGTATCATCTCTGCAGATAACCATTCAAAAGCAGAAAATGTTAAATTTGAATATAGTTACTTTGATAAGCTTATTCCCAAAACTCTTGTTAGGTTTACTTAACTTCTAATTCTGTATAGGATGCTCTCTTGGGCAACTGGTTGAAAATGAAAAAGAAATAGGAAGTATGGTCCCTATATTGTAAGAATATCCTATTAAATGAGGACATAGGATCAAAATAAGAAAAGACAAAGGTATACATGTAAAGAAAATTCTGCAAGCTAATATAGATGTGCTACTGATATATGCACATATGCATGCACCAATAGGCCAGAATATTCCCCCTGATGTTCCTGGGAGGGCACAGTGATAGCCTGTAGCTAGCCTGACCTATTAGTCCACTGTAACCTAGATTGCTGTAAATTACAGTGTTGTCAAAATAAGGCTGAATGGAGGTATTGTAACTGGTCCATTAAATCTGTTTACCAAAAGAGTGTTGGCATCAAAAGCAGTTAATAATTCTTGTCATGAAGAATTTACTAATTGCCAGAACTTTGGTTTTTCAAAAGGCTGTAATTACATATTTGGCTGAGTAGTCATTCTTATTGTGTTCATGTTTATGGGGAGCAAAACGATGTGCCTTTACCAGAAAACAAGAGACCAAAAAGTTGGCCCAATTTGACAAATACTCATGTCTATTGTTCAAAATAGAGGCCATTGCATAGTGGATTGACTACAAACATGGAATCCAGTTTCTAGTTTCCACTTGATGGAGTCAAGAATAAAGATTGAGCTGCTACCTTCATTCAGGAGATGTCAAGAGAGTTGCCTTTAGTTAAATCAACAGCAAAATATTCATTGAGTGGTTTTTCCTTTCTTCCCCTGTCTTAGTAATGTCTGTATGCATCAGCCTACTAATGAGCTTTGCTAGAATATGGTGGAATGTCTTTGATGTCCTAACTGTGCCTATATTTTAAGGGTGATTTATAATTTTTGCTACACATAGTATTTAGGATCTGGATTTTGTCTTGAGATCAGCATTAACTGATGCAGGGTAGTGCATGCCAGTGGGGTCACCCTGGATGAGTCTGATGCTAAAGGTAACTGGACCAAGTCTCAGAAGCTCTTAGATTTCTTGTTGCCTGGGCCAACAGGGTGGGAAGGAGAAAAGGCAAGTCCTTGAATTGTCTTCCCTGCCCAGATACCTCTGCTGACCCAAGCAATGAAGGAAAGGTTGGCTTAACTATGTGAGGTGGGCACACTCATCACTAACCCAAGAGGAGTCAGAGAAGGAGTTACGAGAAGTGTGGGTTTTCCTGCCCTTTCTTAGCTCGTGTTCTCTGGATACCCAACCCCAATTCCAATCCTAAGTTTCAACAAAACCTTAGCCCACTTGCCCAACCTATTTTCTGAGCTTGTAGGCTAAAGAAGGTGGACTCTGTTTTTTGGTAAGTGAAGACAAAGTATCAGAGTTTGTGTGGCTCCTATTTTTATGAGGTGACTTGTAAGAGATAGCCTCTCTAGTGGCAAAGGGCATGCCTCCAGGGCATAAACCTTGGAGTTCAAATTCTGACTCTATTGCTTATTGGACTTGTAAACCTAATCTCTCTGTAGGTACTATCAGTTTTCTTATGATTTGTTGTCTCCATCACTAAAATGGGGATATATGTTAGGAGGATTAAATGAGTTAATATTGTTAAATTTCTTACTAGAACATGCCTGGCATATAGTACAATCTGCTCATATTATCATTTGTTACTTAAGTGAATCGATGTCACTATCTTTCATGAGTGCTTTCCACACTATATAGGTTTATCTCGTTTAACCCTTAAAATAGTTTTATAAAGTTGATATGAGTTCATTAATTCCCCTATTTTTCAACTGAAGAACCTAAAACTTTGGGAGTTAAATCACTTGCCCCAAAACTACCAGCCGCTAAGTGACCTATCCTTAATATTCCCATTTGAATTTTTAATCAAGATGTTTCTGTGGGGTTAAACACAGAACACACCTTTTAAACTCCACCTTTTCTTTTGGCCTGGGACATCTGCCAGTGCCAACACCTCAATTCTTCCCAAATGCCAGCTTTGCTTGGTTTCCTGGAGGATAAATTTGAGCAAACTTGTTGGAAACAACTACTCACAGAAAACCAGCTGGGGGCCATGTTGATTCTCTCCATCTTTTTTTTTTTTTTTTATTTTTTAATTGTCTAGGTTATTGTATTACTTTGCTAGGAATGCTGGACCAAAGTACCACAAAGGAGGTGGCTTAAACAACTGAAGTGTGTTGTCTCAGCTCTGGAGACTAGAAGTCCAAGGTCAAGGTGTCAGCACTGGTGCCGGTTCTTTCTGAGTCTGTGAAGGATAATCAGTTTCTTGGCTTTCTCCTTGCTGCTGGTGGGTTGCGGCAGTCTTTGTTTTCACAGCTTGCAGACATAACCACCCTGACCTCTGTTCTCACCTTCACGTGACTATGAACGTGTCTCTATGTCCAGATTTCTCCTTTTCATAAGGACAAGGGTCATAGTTAATTAGGGCTCACCCTAGTGATGTCACGTTAACTTGCCTGCCTCTAAAGTCTCCATCTCTACTTCAGTCCACATTCTGAGGTCCAGGGGGGAGGTGGTGGGCAGAGGTTAGGAGTCTTTTATATCTTTTGGGGGAACAGGGGACTCACTTCAACCCATCGCTTGTACCTGAGTGTTTACCTTACTTTGAAAGCTGATTTTAATATGAGATTCAGTCATTCATCTATACATTCCTGAGACTATGAATTTAATGTTTTCATGCCTAAAACATTATTCCTCTACTCAGTGATTTAGCCTAAACTCTCTGTGTTTTTTAATAAACTCTCTCAGTACTCTGACTCCAGCCAGTTGAGAGTCATCTCCCCTACAGTGCACCTCAGGCGAGTAGCATCCACTTATTTAGGGGTAGGCCTCTTTCTCAGGGGGTTCCCTTCTGAGGCCTAAATCTAGGCGTGGTGGCAGATGATAACTCCCAGGGAGGATGGTAACAGATTGACAAGAGGCTTGTCTGGTACAAAGTTCAAAATTATATAGTAATCATAGCAGAAATTGGTTTTGTGAATTCCGAAACTACAACTGAGATGAGTTCTTAGTATGGTGTGTGTCCTGCATTTATTTCATCTCAAGGACTTGACAGCTCCTCGGGAGATAACACAGTCGGGAGATGCACTGGAGGATGCATGGGCTGAATCACAAGCAGCACTGCTTGTTCTGACATGACAGCGAGAAAAGGCAACTCAGTTGTGAGGCCCAATATAACTGGTAGATGGTTGACACTTTCCCACTGGGCATAAATTTACCAGTGCTCAGGAATGGAATTACCAGTTATTTGGAAGATTCTGTGTCTACTGGGCAAGGAAAACAGATAGGGCGACAATGGGTGTGCTGGAAACAGAAACTCCTCTCAGACCCAGCTCTCTGTTAATGAAGTTTTGAGTTGCCATTTGGGCATGGGGCCAATAGTTACAGATTCGATGGCATTTCAAGAAAAACTAGAAGTCAGGGAATTTTACAATGAAATTGTTTAATTTTTAAATGCTGTCCATTAATTCCATTTTTGTATCTAATTCCTTTTTTCCAGTTTGATTAAGCAAACCAAAAAAATGCATGTCAGTGGGTCAATTTTAGCCCTTCAGCTGCCACTTTGGAATTTCTGGTCTAGAATAATCTTCTGTTTTAAAAGCTCAAAATCTAATATATTTAAAGCAAACAAACAGCTAAACAGTTATTTTTTACTTAAACCTGCAGAAGATGTGGACCTCCACAGTGTTTTCTTTTTTTTTCTGATGGCAGGTTTTTTGTTTTTTTTTGTTTTTTGTTTTTTGTTTTAATTTTCGCTCACCTCACACCTTCCCTTAGGTCTATGGGGGACACTAGAAATTAGAGATTCCCCAAGCCTTTTCTTATTATCATCACTATTATTATTATCAGTGTCATTATTGTAACAGTGATAATTGTAGCTTTCAGCTACAACTTGTTCTCTATACATTATGCCCAGTGTCAAGATTATTGTATCACATAATCCTCACAACAGTCTTAAAGGTGGGTATTAATTACTTTCACTTTCCAGATTAGGAAGCCGATGGAGTTGAAGCTATTTCTTTCTGGTTTCACAGCCTTTTTATTTAATAGTTGAATGTGGGAGTGAAGAACACATAACTATAAGCCTTTGTATTTTCTAAGTGTTTGTAAAGTTGTACAGTGAAGTCTGAATTCCCTGTGGGCATTAGAAACATTTCAAGTCAAAACAAATAAACAAGGGAATGAAGAGAAACAATAGAAAACCAGACTGTCTTATTATTTCTGTCTACTTTGACATTTTTTTGGAAAGAAAAGCCCAAAATGAGCTATGTGTACCTGCTGCTCTAAAATAGTTGGCATTAATTAGGGGCCTCGTTTATGAATTAGCTCTCAAAATCCAGCCTGCCCGAGGCAGCCAGGGTGGAACATTGTTTAGATATATGAAGTTTGGTTGGATTGATAAATTTTTACAAAGTGATGATTTGAAAACTCAAGAGATTCTAACCTAACAAGTAGGAAGCAGTCATGATGACTAAATAAATGGAGCATTAATTATCTTCACACACTCTGAGACTTTTAGCTGGTGATCTCCATTTTAGTGGGAAATTAATGCACAGTTTTTCAGTCCATGAAGCAATGTCTTAACAAATAAGAGTATTATATCAAAATAAAGTTGAAAGTTTGATCTTAAAGTGGGCTGTTTTAAGTGTTCTGTTGACATCTTAAATTCATAGCTTTATTGGTTGATCCCAAATGTGCAACTGACACTCCCTCAGCTGAGCATTCTCCTGCACTCACAATCTCCAGCTTTTCAAAGGAGCTGATTTCACAGAACTGTCAAATTTCAGTGAATGATTATGCTTGATTGGAACAAAAGGAAGGGGGAATGTTCTACATCAGTATTATTTTCTCACACAGAGGAAATTGAGAATATGTGAAACTTTGCCTAAAAATTGCCCAAGCTCATGGTAAGAATTTTCCCATCCCTGATTGTTTCCAGGTAAAATAGTCAATTAATGAATATGTATTAAATGATAAAGGTGTCCCAAGATCTATTCTGGAATTCAATTATATATGGGAAGCAGTTTCAGCCTTAGGTAACTTTTCAAAATTCAAGAGTTTGGTTAAGTCATTAAGCAAACTCAGTGGATGGCTTTTTGTCCAGAGTGTTGTACTAGGTTGACTTTTTTGGGGGAGAAGGCAAGGCGTGGAATAAATCTGATTTTTACTCTGATACTGATTTGAAACCTTTCAAGCAAGTCCTGGGTCTTGGTTTCCTCTCCTGTGGATGATGAAACAACAATTTCTGCCTTGAGGGCTTGTAGGACTGTAAGGGATGTCCTGGAGAATTAGGGCAATGAAGCCCATTGAAATCCACTGAGCCTTATGCCGTCGCCATCTTTAAAAAACTTGCTCTCATATCAGGAATACAAGAAAGACAGGTGTAAAACAGCCAGCAAAGGTCCCTGGACAATCCGTGTTCAGGGGTCAACTAATTGGTAGATGACTTTAAATGTCTTTGGAAAGGAAAGCTAAAACTGAAACAGTTTGGTGGAAGCACGCATTTTTTAAAACATCTAGAAATTTAGTGTTATGTAGTAGCTCTATGTGGTTTGCAGCTGCTTTGACTGATGACATAAGTGTTCTCAATACTAAATCCAGAGGAAGAGTTGTCCTGTTAGGAATCCCCCCATGGCAATCTAGCTGCCTGTGCTTTGGCATGCCCTAGAGAATGTGGAGGGAATGCTGGAGAGGGGAGTATGCCACAGCCCTCGTGTGTACGTCAGCCCCATGCCAAGGGGCTCGCCTAGCTCTTCAGAAAGTATATTTCCCACCTTTGATTGAGATTCACACTTTAAACTTCAGAAAAAGGTCTTGGCTATGTACATGTGTATGATCATTGTGTAGCCTTTAATCTGGTTCCTCCTAGCACAGGTAAGTGAAAATTGAGCTTATAGTACTGGGGTGAGGCTCTCTGAGTTCTGATGGGTATTTTCTAAATATGAAGGAAATCTTTATTATACCTAATGTAATAGAACCCAGAGAATAAATAAAAATTGTAGCTTAAAGTAATACCACCACCGCCCCAAGAAAGATAATATTACTATATCTTAGAAGGATTGGGTGACTTGTTCAAATTCTTCCACTCTTCATGGACCTGCTTTACAACATTCAAAGCCCAAGGAGACTTTAGTTTTTACTCTATCAGGGTTTGTAGTTTCAATTTGTGAGAGTAAGTAGTTGGAGCTCACCCCCCAGTTTTTCTCCAGGAGATACTTTCTTTCCATGGGAAACTAAAAGAGCACAGAAACCAAATGTAAAGATAGAAGAAAATTTTATCTGCACAGGACAATTTGCATTAGCCTGTCCTGATTAGCTGTAAATGTGAGTGTGAGAACCAGTGCTTGCTCGCTGGACTAACAGCCACCTCTCTTTCCAGTGTTCTGTTTCCTGCGGTGGTGGAGTGCGGACTCGCAGCATCACCTGTGCCAAGAACCACAATGAACCTTGTGATGTAACAAGGAAACCCAACAGCCGAGCTCTCTGTGGCCTCCAGCAATGCCCGTCTAGCCGGAGATTTCTGAAACCTAACAGAGGCACAATTTCCAGTGGGAAAAAGCCACCACCATCTGAGAAAGACCCGGTACAGCCCGTGGCTCCAACTACAGCCAGTCCCAGAATGTTGACCACAGCCACAGTGCCTAAGCCTGTGAGCACCAGTTCGCCATCAACCAGCAGTCCTACACCTACCACAGCCTCTAAAGAGGGAGACCCAGGTGGCAAACAATGGCCGAATGGTTCAGCCCAAACTGAATTGGATCCCTATTACGTCATTTCCACTGAAAGTACTTCCCAGCCCACTCTCCCTTCCTGGACTTTAAGTGTTCTGCCCACAGCAGAGATGGCTGGCACATCAGACACTGCTCCTACCTCAGGAGATCTTGTAACCACCACAGTGACCGGTTCTGACTTGTCATCTTCCAGCAACCCTGTCACCTGGCAGGTGACTCCAGCTCCTAGTCCTGTGACCAAAGAGCCCGAAATAGAGATTCACAGTGGCTCAGGGGAAGATAGTGAACCACCCGAGAAGAAAAATGAAAGCAGCTCTATAACCTGGACCAAAATCAGAGTACCTGCAAATGATGCTTCAGCAGAAATGCCACTTGGCCCCCCACCAACACCTCATCTCAAAGGGGCACCTTTGTGGCCGCCCTTCAGCACAGTGATGGCAGGACTGCTACCCAGCCAAAGACCTACCACTCTCAAAAGTGGTGCACCCAGAGCCGAGAGGGTGGTCACTGAGAAGCCGGCTAGTACTCCACTCCCTCAGGGAGGAAACCTCAGGCCTGAACCCACAGAAAAGTCGGTGAGCCATGACCCCTCAGAACTTCCAAGCGATGTGAATCTAACGCACAGTTCGGCACCAGTCCTGACTGAGGAGGATGCAACAAGTCTGATCGCTGAGGGCTTTCTGCTGAATGCTTCCAGCTACCAGCAGCTCCTGACGAGCCGCGGCCCTGCCCGCTGGATTGTTGGGAACTGGAGTGAGGTAGGAGTTCATTTCCTACCCCATACCTGAAGCTGTGCAGGCAGCATCTAGGGAGTCTGCATTCTCGTACACATTTCAAAATGGCCCTGTATAAAATATAGTCTAGTAAGGAAAAAACATGAAGCAAGTAGTTCCAGGCTCTCGACTCCCTGCTTTCTCCCTATGCCCAAGTGAAAACAAAGTCTCTATGAAAGGATAATAAACGTAGTGAGGGGGTTTAGTGAAAAGAATCTGAACTCAAGTTCATTATCTCCAGAGTCACAGGGCTGGTGTGGATCAGCTGCAAGGTCCTGTCCCGCTATGAACTGTAAGGAGCCTCTGATGGAGACAAATAAGGGGGCCTGAATTCACATTTCATTCAGGAAGCTAATAGTGACACTCTAATTTAAATCTGTCAAAGTGTGATTAGACTCGAAATCTACGACATTATTTGAAATGATTCTATAGTTCACTGTAGCAATGATTTTAATCTGTTTGAATGCTTGCTTGAATAAAAAAACATGGAGCCTCATTAAAAGAATTAGAATATAGAGGCAGAGGAAAATAAAGAGGGTGACTAAATGTTGGTCCCTACTGTCAAGCTTCAGGAATGTGACTAGATATTTATTTTTCCACTTTCAGAACTAATTACATCCTTTGCAGCATCAAAATAATTTCTCATCCATTTGAATTTTGAATGCATAGTATAGGAAGTTGTTAAAATTATTTGACAATTCAAAGTTGTTAAAATTGCTTTCCTTAGAGCAAAATGATCTCACGTTTAAATCATTCAGTATTTTCGTGATAATTCATGACTCATCTGTCTTGTTCAGGTGACATGAAGTATTGCTAGCTAATAAAGAAATAACAATACGTTTAATTAAGAGAGTGTGTTCACTTCCGAACCAAACTAATTTCATGTGTTGTTTCTTGTTTTCTCCTATTGACAGTCCTGGAAGCAGGGAGGGTCACATTTATACCAATTTATCAAAAAAGAAACCAGGATTTTTAAAGTGGCACATGCCAGCTGATGGTTACCCTGTTCACTCACTAACCTGTCTGTCTGGTGAGTTTTAGCACCAGCTGACAGCTTAGCTCCATAAAATTCATTTGTAGAAACTGATTGGAATCACTGGCCATGCAATTGACTGTACTGGTAATAAATAGGTAAATTCAAACTTTCACAAAATTTTTGTTTACAATTGGACTATGTTTCACATTTGTTCCCTAAAGGGAGTAATCGCATTCCCTGTCAGTGGAGCAGCATCTTATTTCCATTTGCAAATAAAGATCCAAGGTTCTGGAGAAAAAGGTTTTCATGCTTAGAGTAATCTAATTTGTGCAAAGAATGAGGTTCATGATCCCTGAAATTTTATTCATCTTTCTTTCCTAATCAGTTCTAAAGAGCTGCTAATGAGGATGTTGACAGTGAACACTTATAAAGCATGTACCTTGATGGCATGATTTATGCAAATCAACATGCATTTTCTCACATTTAATTCTCACCATGGCCTAAGGATATTGGCAATTTATCCCCATTGTAGAGACAGGAAACTGAGCTGAGGGATGTCAAGTGAGCACCCCAAATCCCACGCACTCTGGAGTGATAGAGCAAGTCTCCAACCCAGACAGAAGTCATAACCTCTGATCCATTGCTCTGCAAATCAGTGAACAGTGCCACTCCACCTTCTTTTCTGTTTGTTTCTTCTTTGGTCACATGACATAAAAACAAATGAGTAAGGTGAAGGTCCTAGGTGGACAGTAGAGAATATAACATAGCTCACAAGGTCATAGTTTAAAATAACATCTAGGGCCTGATGGGTACTTTCAAGTTAGTTACAAGCAAGTGTTCTCTGTCATGTCACCACCAAGGGTTCAGGCTAAATATTTTGAAGTCAGATGGATCCATTTAGATGTTTTGATTATCCACTGGACCCTTCCCTCCCCCACTGCTGTCCCCCCAACCTCCCCCTCTGGTTGCCTCAGTTTTGCAGTCAGATGTCAAGAGATTATTGTTGGTTTGGTTTTACTGCCATTTTCTTCAGGGTCAAGCTGTGTGCTTCTATGTTTTCCTTGATTTCATGGGTAGGAAGTAATTTCTAAAGTTCCTTAGAATTTGATCTGAAATCTCCTTTTTCATGTCCTCCACCTTCTTCTGGTGGTGAAGGGCTGTTCATGTCCACATTGTACACAGCACACTCCTCTAAGTGTGGTTTCAAAAAGTAAGTCATTGATGTGAAAACTAAGTTCACACTATAACAGCCATAAAGTTTGAAACCAGACTCGCTGAATTTGAATCATGGCTTAATATCAATGGTCTGCAAGAATTAGGCTTATAGACTAGAAAAAATTAAAGGAGGAGAGTTTGTGTACATTTCCGGTTACCCCATGCTAAACCTGTGATATGTAAGAATTATAAATAAGTGAAAACCTCTTGTGAGGGATGGACTGTACTTGCACAAGAGCTGACCATCTGATTCTCCAGCGTTGGGTCAGGTGCTGAAGAGCAGAATCCTGTAACGTCTGTGATTGGAGGTCTAACAGTATTGGCCTCACCTAGGGGCTTGGAGACAGGCAGGATCACCTGGGAGAAATGCAAACTCTCCAGCCCCTCCCCACACCTTCCTGTCGAATCTGCAGATAGTAAGGTGATTCCCTGTGGACACTGAAGTTTAGAAGCTGCCATAACTGACTTCATACCCTGTGTAGAGGCAGGAAACCCCTGTCTCTCCTTGGACAAGCCAGCTCTCTAAGCCACAGGGTCTTCGTTCTACACTATAGCAATACTGGTCTGCGCCACAGGCTTGTCACAGAGCAGAACGGTGGGGGCCTGTCATTGGATGCTATGGGGGTGTGAAGTAAGCGGCAGAGGCAAGGTGTGCCCCACTCTGAACAGCTTTGGTGTGAGAAATGCAGCAATTTGCCTGCAGCCCCCTAGCCATTCACGCCAGGATCAGTTTTAAAGGAAAACAAATGCCCTCTGCTTCTTTCTTGCAATAGCTTTTCTTCCCATTATATAAACCAAGGATTTTCCAGCCCAGCTGTTTGCTGAAATCTCATGGAAATTTTCTTAAGCACTGATGCTCAGTTTACCCCTAAAGATTCAGATGGATTTGTCTGGGGGTGGATGCCCTAGCACTGATACTTTTTAAAACTCTGCAGGCAGTTTTATTGAGTGGGAGGAACTGGAACCTCTGACTCTGGGGTGTGTCTGGGAAAGTCACCCCCAACCTCCGTGTTCTCCCTTCCCCACGCAGTGCTCCACCACGTGTGGGCTGGGGGCCTACTGGCGAAGCGTGGAGTGCAGCACCCAGGTGGAGTCAGACTGTGCTGCTCTGCAGAGACCCGACCCAGCTAAGAAATGCCACCTCCGCCCCTGCGCCAGCTGGAAAGTGGGAAACTGGAGCAAGGTAAATCATCAGGTTCAGCAGAGTTGGAGTGAGGGGGAGCTGGAGGGAGGCCTGTTTTATATAAGTCTTTGCTAAAGTAGCTTGCTCTCCTTCCTTCCTTCCTTCCTTCTCTTCCCCTTCTTTGACAGAACTGTGAGCAAATCATTTGCATGACCATAGGCCTACTCCAAGTTACACAGGAGACTTAGGACAGGTATAGAGTTTTTTCAACCCACGAGTTTTCAGCTGCCTGTCCTTTCCCTGCCAGATAAAGCAGACTAAAAAGTTAAATTTGCGTAAATAACTGCTGTGCAGCATGCCACACTATTCTGAAATCACTTAAAGTTAGCAGCATAATTAATAATCATACATAGCCCCTGTATAATTAAATCATGACTCAGCAGCTGCTCACAAAGCAAATATACCATTTAATCTGCTGGACTTGATATGAAAAGGAAGCTGAGGGATACAGAATAGTTTGGTCTCTAGCAGCATATTTTCTGTACTGTGATTTTTGAAGTGTGATTTTAGTCTTTGCTAACCCAGCCATGGTTCCTCATACCGCTTTGCATCTGCTTAGAAGCGCCTTGTGAAGGCGCTCAGGATTTCAGATTAGTCAACCTTGCTGATTTGGGGCCTTAACCAGGCCTTGTCTGCCCATCTCTCAGGGTTGGGGTTGAGCCAGCCCCTGGGGATTCCAGGCTGAAAGACACAGGTCAGCAGTGGGCAGAGAGCTGCTGCAGGAGGCGTGAGGTCTCACACAGCCCTGTGCCAAGCCCAGACCCTGTCTTCTTGCCAGGGTGCAGCTTCCCTTGATAGCTGAGGCACAGAAGGGAAAAAAGTACCCAGAAGTTTGGGGAAGGTTGGTGTCCCCTCTAACATTAGTTCCCTCGCCTAGTGGAGAATCCATGTCCTCCAACAAGCAAGACTAAGGGCTGCTCCTTGAGAAAGTTGCCACCTGTTCCTTCAATACCTGCCAGTCTCCATTTTCTCCCAGGAATGAAAAGTTGATTTTTCTTTCTCTTCCAACTCATAACACAATGTAGGAACCAACAAGGGCTGAATGCTGGACAAATTCTCTTCCCTATCCACAGACTCTCAAACACCTTACATCCCTGACCTTGCCATGTACTGCCCAAGCCCTAAAGTTCCACTCTCCCATCGCTGGGAATAATCCTTTCCTTGAACATTGCCTGGCTCATCAAAAAGGACAGATGGGTGAAACCACTCTCATTTTTGAAAAGGTCACCAATGGAAATTTCTAGTAAACCCTAAATGAGAGACCAGGGACTGCCCTGGCTTCCGACCTGTGAAGGAAAACCCTCCTCCAACAGTGTGTCCTGCCTGTGTCTGTCTCTTCTCTCATGCCGGGAGGGTTGCAGGGATATTTATTAAGTCCTGCAATGCTCCTGGTGACTTAATAGAAGCAGTCTCTTGACAAATAATCAGGTTCTGCCTGAATTTGGTAACTACCACATCTAAAATCTAATCCTCAAAGTTACTGCATTTTATCAGTAAATAAAAGTCTTCTCTCCAGATAACTAAAAAGTTAAATTTGCGTGAATAACTGCTGTGCAGCATGCTAGAGAAAATGTCTTCTCTCCAGATAATCTTATGTCAAAGACACTGTTAGCTACTGAGAGTCAATTGCCCTGATGTCTGTTTTTCTCTACTATTGTGAATATTGCATCCATGGCTTCCATTTTACCTAGAGCTGTTCATTTAGTTTTTCCTCTTAAATTGGGCTGGTTAAGTGAGCCTCCTTTTCGACTACTTTAACCAGCTCTAAAGTCCAAATCGTGAACTAGGAAAGATTTGTGGGCCTTCTTCTCACTAATTCTATCAGGCCTTTTAAGCTCACTCAGAGGCGAACATCTGAAACCTACAGTAGAATTATGGACCCTTGAATTTTCCTTTAATCATTCACAAGATTTAGGTTTTTGCTGAGCTCACAAGTTTACCTTTCACAGATGCTTTCCAGAGGGAAGAATTCTAACTACCGTTAACGTTCAGCATTATTACACTTACGTCTAAGCTGAATTCAGAGATAACTTTAGTTCTCATAGGATTTAAGGTATGTTGCAGCCTCACCTGAACCCACAGGAATCACATCTGTATATTTACAGTGTGGCAGGAAAATGAGTTTGTTTGTTTTGGGGAGACTGCCAAGTGTTGCTTATTCCTGAGAAGCCAAACACACCAGATCTGTGGAAGTGTTGGCACAACCATCTGCCGCCCGTCACATGGGCCCACGTCTTTCATGTTACACTCAAGATTTGAAGTCAGAGGACTTAAGGCCATTCCCCAGGGGGGCAGAAGAAAGTAAAATCTAATTATGTGGGAGATGGCGTAGCTTCCAAAACCCAAAGGGGTCAGAGAGAAAGCAAAGAGGTGCCCCAGAAAAGGACAAATAGACTGTTTTTAGGTGGCCTGCACGTCAGTGTCGAGCATCACCTTAAGGAGGTCAGCAGCCCTCATGTGAACTGTACCTTTCACTAAGAGCAGGATGGAGGGCCTACGATACAGGTGTGGGCACGTGGGAAGAGGCAGTCAGGGAAGCCCTTTCATGGCACTCAGTGGGCTTATGCTAAGAGCTCAGGGATGGATGCAAGTGATGGTGGCCGGAGGAGGAAGGACTTGGTGGGCACCATCCAGGATTTGCTCACTCCCTTGGGTCAAACCACGGAGCAACTTTGTAGCTTACTTCCATCTCGGCTCTTCCTCAAGAAAGAATAACCTATCTTGTGTCCAGAGCCATGGAGAAGCCAGGTTTCTGGCAGGATTCTGAGAGATGGGTGTGGCCAGCAGCCAGCCTCCCCCTCCCCCATCCTGTTCAACCAGGAGTGAATACAGATGTCAGAGGACAAGCCTTGACACCTGGACTTCCCACCGAGTTCTCACACTGTAGGCCTGTTCCCCAGCATGCAGGGTCCAGTGTGAGGAGCTGTGTGAGTGACTCCTTTTCTAGGGTGTGTGAGGGAAGTCGAGGTTCACCTGAACTTGACCTAACCCTCTTTCCACTGGAACCCTGGAACTTCAGGGTCTTTATGAAATCCCCCCTGAATCAGGGGATTTAAGGCTGATGCCAAGGACCCAGGTGTCTCCTTTTCTCTCACTCCCATCCAGTGCTCCAGAAACTGCAGCGGAGGCTTCCAGATCCGGGAGATCCAGTGTGTGGACAGCAAGGACCGCAGGAGCCTGAGGCCATTTCACTGCCAGTTCCTGGCGGGCATCCCTCCCCCGCTGAGCATGAGCTGCAACATGGAGCCCTGTGAGGAGTGGCAGGTGGCGCCCTGGAGCCAGGTACAGCCCCCAGACAGTGCCCACACGTCTGGCAGACATGAATCTGGTATTACCTGTGTTCAGGACTCAGCCTTATAAGTTTTATTTGTGTTGAGCCTAGTTATAGCTTCCAGAATCCTGGAATTTGCAAAGGAGCTTAGGTTGCCTTGTCATAGACATGGCATTTGCCTATTATCAAAGACAAGCAATAAAATCTGCTTCCGTTATGAAAAAATATATTCTTTATGCTTCCCCAATACCTTGTGAGAGTCCCAGACATGAATCTGCCCCCCAAAGGCCTCCCACCACCTCTTTTCTATATTGCTTTGTTCTAGGCAAATTACAAATAATGGAAGACTTCCCCTTGAGGGAACAGAGGAGATGAAAAATGCAAAATAATCTGAGTATTTTCCTGAGGCTCTTGACGGACTAAGCATCTTTCAGTGCATTCCCTGACCCACATAAGGCTTTTCTGTCTATAAACACTATCAAATGAACTGACATCATGGAATGTTCTAGGCCCCTCCAGTGAGTGTCATCCAGCTCAAACTACCTGCATGGAAGATGCATGTCAGCTGTGGGACCATCTGTATGCTAAGTACTTCTTAGCATGCTTTAGAATCATCTGGAGAGTTTGTCAACGCACAGATGGTGGACTCCATCTCTAGTGTCTGAGGGGCCTGGGTGGGACCTGAAATTTTGATTTTCTAACAACTACCCAAAAGATACTGAAGTTACTTGTCTGAGGCCATACTTTGGTAATCATTGGTTTATGTCTTCGCCATCCCCATTTCCTGGGGTGGCTTGGCCAGCTGGCCCTGAGTGCCTGCACATGTGGAGGGATGTGTAAGGGTCTCAGGTGGGGTTTTCCCTCCTCTCTTTGTATAGGCTTTGAAAAAGATTGAAGAAATGAGGGGAAACCTCATTTTTAACTCTCAAACTTGGAATATTGTGAGGGCAATAGGTTTGTTCTTTTTGAGCAGACAGGGTTAACTGGATATCATTTCCCTATTTCCTGTGGCACCACCACACACGCAGGGCCTGGCATGATGGATGTGATGTTGGCAACCATAATTGTTCTGTTGTGGTTACTATGTCATAATTAAGATTTTATTTATTAAGTCTTTTTCATAGTGCCCAAGTACTTTTCAAAGATTCTTGGTGAATTAATTTCCTCTTGGAAACTTGATTCCTATATGAAACAATATATCTTATAAAATTATGCTAGTGAGCAAAAACCTGACACATTTTAGAATTGTTGATCTTTAAGAAGCCAAGTTGTCATCTCGAATTTACTTTATGAGAGTTAACAGCCAGTGCATCAGAACTCTGAATGAACCTGTCAATTTCCCTTCTCAAGTATTGACAAATTTAATGTCTCCTTATGGACCATCAGAGGTAGTCATAATAATACATCTAAATTTACATTTTGGTTTTCAGACACTTGTGCTAGAAGCCAAAATGCAGATAACATGACATCCGTTCTGAAATGAGGATTCATTTAGGTTTTTAACCAAAAAAATTCCTTCCCTTTGATATATTATTTGATATTGAATTATTGGATACCTTCTGATGTTTTTCCCCTCTTAGCCTGAGGATTTACTTTATCAATCCTCTTTCTTCTCTTTAATTCTTATGTTACCACTGATGTTTGAAATGATTGGTCTTTGGAAGGCACTTGGCAGAGATGTTACAGATTCTAATAAAGATACTAATATTCTTGATAATAACTCTACACAGCAAAATTGATAATAATGCGCTCTTATTACTGGGAAGGTCACCGTGTGATTTTCACCTAAGCTTGTCCCTTCTGTGTGTCAGTGTTCCAGGTCCTGTGGGGGCGGAGTGCAGGAGAGAGGGGTGACTTGTCCAGGAGTCCTCTGTGACTGGTCAAAAAGGCCCACGTCTACCACACCTTGCAATGGGCAGCCTTGCTGTCACTGGGTCACTGGAAACTGGAGCCTGGTAAGAGTTGATTACTTTAGTCTCTAAAAAATTAAACAAATAACATATTTCTTTTGATTACAAAAGAAATTACTCATAGTAAATGTTCAACATAGCTTATGATGTACAGCATTCACAGCATGTTTCTATATTTTTTTTGGTACTCACCTCACATCTAGTTTGCACAAAGTTGGGCCATAGCTGCTATGGCTTGGAGTGTTTGCTGCCTGAGTTTAGAAGAGAAAAAGATCAAATATTTTCAAAAGAGAAAAAAAAAATAGCCAAATTATCCCAGAGGCACAGAGTCTAAGGAAAGGTAATTTTGGGTCTCAATACCTTGGATTTTCTGGCTTTTCCTAGAGCAAATAGGAGTCAAGAGCCCTGAAGCTTGAGACTTAGTCTGACTTAGCCAGTTTTGGGTATCTCATTAACTACAGATGAGTTTTTCAGATGGCCAGCTTGTTTGATGGCAAGACAAACAAAACAATTCAACTGTACATGAGGGAAAGATGTATTATTCTCACAAGGTTTATGTATTATATAAATATCACTGAATCAGTGACACTGAAAACCAAGAAAATTCTGTGTTAGATTCTGCCATCATTCTGATGTCTTATACTGGATTCTCTAGAAAATAAGAGTCTTAAGGCAAATTCTAATACTTCATTAAGAGATACAATATCAGGGAAGCAGGAGTGTTAGAAATAGGAAGGAGACAGGGAAAATGTCATTTTAACCTAACTGACCACAGTTTGCCTTCGGGAGCAGCTGATTCTTGCTCTCCAAGGTCTTCTAAATGCCGTAAACTCCTGCATGTTAGGGCACTTTGTCCAGGAGTAGGAACAGAGGTGATAAGCTACTGGCTCCTGTATTCCAGATGGCTGGGAAAGATCTCCCCTCAGATAGTTATGACCCGCCTCCCGCCACATTGTCCTTTCGTATGTGGGTACTGGATGGGTCCCATCATGTCTCACATCTCATTGGCAACAAGAAAGCCCAGAATTAGGAGATGAGGTACAGGGCAATGGATGTGCTTCCACGAAGTTGGTTAACACCTCAGACTAATGGCTAGGAGACCAGGGAGCGAAGTCCTCATGCTAACCCCTCAACTACTGATGTTCCTAAAGTAATTTGCTCTGTATATTTTGATGGCTAGAATTATAACACAAGCTGTTGCAGTATTTTGTCAACCATAAAGCCCCCAGGTATTTTTAGGTTAATAATTCTCCTTATTTGTAGCTGCATAGTTGCACCAGCACAGCCATGATCAGCATGAAGCTGGCACATTCTTTTTAAAAAGGCTCCTGCTGATGCACCCATTGGTCTTTGGATTCCAGCCACTTTAATCCAGGAAGAACAAGATGATTCATGAATGAGAAAGGAACATTGTACATTAATCACTTTGCCTGCAATAAATAAAAAGTACATCTTATTATTTTCACAATTAAAAAAAAAGTCTCTTAAAAAAATGACATCAGTCATTCCCTTAAATAGATCCATAGTAGGTTCTATGAAGTCCTTATTTTCATTGGCCTCTGATGTTCACTAATAATGAATTGCCAAAGGAGAGTCTGGTGTCTGGGCAACTTCTGGTTTTGCCCTCCTGCTAAGCTGTCCCCCCATGGGTCATTTGAACAACAAGAAATGGCATGTGTAGTTGTATTTTTGTCATATAAATATAATTTAATCACTTTACATTAGGACATCTTATAATAGCTCCCTTAGAAATTAACATTTTTCCCAGTCATTAGAAATTCAGTTATTCCAAGACCAATTTTCTTCATCTATCTTTGATCTGACAACTGAAAAGATTATATCTAACAATTAAAAATATGTCTGGGGATTAGACTCTTGAACAGTGGAAGTTTATGTAACAATATTAAGGTCTCTAATCAAATCAAATGTGACCCTCATAACAGAACATTTATACAATGTGAGCCATCATGAAAATGCTATCAATTTTGGCCCATTCAGAGACACAAAATTCCATACAAAACTTAGAATGACAGGTGAATATTCCTAAATCTCACTGTCAATTCCCTGCCTCCCTAGCACTTTATATCATTCATTGCGAAAGAAAGCTGCACAGTGCAACTTAAACCATAAATAAAACTGCATTCAATCCACACAATTTATAATATAGACTTCCTGAACTCACACCTCCAAGCTAGTAGTGCCTTCATTCTATGACTCCTTCAAAAAGTTTCTGATCACCGAGATCAGAAATCTTGATCTCAGTACAGTTCTAAGAGGTTTTCGGCTGGCGAGCGTTCACCTGTCCATTCCAGGGAAGAATGGCACCTCTCACGTGCCCCCTCTCTTCCAGTGCACGGCTTCCTGTGGAGGTGGCTTTCAGAAGAGGACCGTCCATTGTGTCTCCTCCGAGGACAATAAAACCGAAGATGAAGACCGATGCCTGTGTGACCATGAGTCCAGACCTCCAGAATTGCGAAAATGCAGCCAGCAGGCCTGCAGGAAGAGTGCTGGTGGGTGAATGTGGGTGAATGGGTTGCTCAGAAGGGAGAGAGATTTTCATGAAGAAGTCATGCTGCTTGGTTCCACATGTGGACTTATTTGTGGAATATAAATAATGAGAAAACAGATGCAAAGCTCAGCAAAATAATTCTTAGACTGTGTGGAAAATATACTGGTTACCAGAGGGAATGTGGAGGAAGGGTCTAGGGCATTGGCAAGGGAGTCTTGGTGGACAGCAAATAAAGCATGTGCACATATGGGGATGTGAGAAGGTACCCCCAAATTTATATAGCCATGTAGACAACTGAAAAGTTAATTTTTAAAAAAAGGAAGCACAGCTGCCACCAGTTCCTTAATTTAAAGAGGCAACCACCGACCCTGACTCCTGTCGCCTCTAAAATGCTCTCATTTTCATGCCCCACTCATTGTCCAGATTCTTGTTGGCCAATCAGCCATTGCCGTAAACATACCCACTGTCCATCTTATAGGATAGGGTATGAATTCATGTAAGGTTTACTTTCTTCCAGGCCATGTCACGTGCTTTAGGTACAAAATTGTTAATGATTCAAACCTAAGAACTACCGTTTCTGGTAGGGTCTACCAAAACCCATTACAAGTATCTGGGTTAAAAGAAACATCAAGATGGGCCTCCCCTGGTGGCGCAGCGGTTGAGTGCTGGGCTGCGAGGCTGCCCGCAGCCTCTGCAGCGCTGGTTCATTCCCTGGCCGCCGGCAAGGGTCCCACAAAAAAAAAAAAGAAAGAAAGAAACATCAAGAAAAAGATGCAGAAACAGGTAATGAATATTATCTGCATTTCAGGGATTAAGTAATGATTAAAAATAAATGGTGGAGGACTGTGGGTGCTCTGGTGGTGGGAGAGCTCCCTGAGGACAGGAATCCTATACTGTCAAAATATTAGCAAGAATAGAAAACAATGGTACTTGATTAAAAAAATATATAGGTTAATTAAAATCAAAAAGTTAGTTGCAAAAATCTAAAGAAAATTAGAAGCTAAACCTTGAAGTATGCTCTTCCAGGGTTGTTTGGGGGCTTGAGAGGGGTATAGAGGGCAAGGAAAAGGGTAAGGAAAGTAATAAGGATTGTATTTAGACTCAAACTTGATACCAGTGAACAACGAACTTTCTACTGAAAAATATTCTCCCAGATGAATAGAATTTTATTTATTCAGCATAACATTAATGATCACACAGTATATCTCAGGCAAGTGATAAAAACTGAGGATGCAGAGATGAGTAAAACTTAGTTCTGGCCACAAGATGCCTAAAGTTTCCTGGAAACTGTATTTGTCGACCATATTGAAATTGGTTTTCAACTTTCATGGTCAAAATAGTATCCCTTTGAGCTACACACAGCAAGGAAACAAGTTTATGATGGTCTCTTTAAATTTTTTAAGTATGGTTTTTGGTTTTTTGTTTTTTTGCATAGGCAGAGGCAAATTGGGGGCGCCTCTTGAAGTTGCCCCTAATTAAAAGCATTGTGTGTGCCTCAGCTGGGATCTAATTGGCTGATGAACACAATAGCCTTCATTGTTTCACAATAATAAGGAGAAAAATTAAGTCATGCCACAATGTTAGGCTGATAGTAATTTTCTAAATGAGCTGCTAAACATAGACCTGGAACAGTCTCCCTCTATGTGCTACCACTATCCTCCATTCTTCCTTCAGGTCCCCCATTCTCAAACAGGAGGACCCCACAACTTAACATGTTTCCAGGGCTCTGAGGCCCATTGAAAAGTAGGATTCATGATCTCTGGGTTTCCAAGATCAGGCAAGGACACTAGACATCGTTGAATCTCATCGTTGAATACTTATTCAGAGACATAAGTATCAACCTAACCTGACTAGTGGTGACCCTGTGTTGAGCAAATGAGATGTCTGGTCAGGGGTAACACCTGTTCAGATGGCCCCTCGTCCCCCATCAGCAGTACAAGAGATCCATTTTTTTGATGACCAAACTTAAGATGTATAGAAGCATTATTCAAACTCCAGCACTGCCACCTATCTACCAGCTGTGCGACTTTGGGCTAGTTACTGAGCTTCCCAGGAACCCTGTTTTTAAAAGAAGAATAGATATACCTACAAGTAAATTTCTATGAGGAGCATAGCATATAGCCTAGTCTGTAGTTAGTGCTTAACAAATTGTACTGGGGAGGGCTGTGTTAGTTTCTTAAGGCTACCATAATAAACTACCAAAATCTTGTTACTTTAAAGAATTCTATTCACCCACAGCCCTGGGATCTAGAAGTCTAAAATCAAGGTCTTGTCGGGGTCATGTTCTCTGCCTTTGCTTCTGGGGATTGCCATGATCTCTGGCTTCCTTGGTCTGTAGCTACATAACTCTGATCTTTACCTCATCGACACATGTCATCTTGCCCCTGTGTGTCTGTGTCTTTATGTGACTTTCTCTTCTGTGTGTGTGTCTGTGTCTTCTCTTCTTGTGAGGACACCGTGATGTTGGATTCAAACCTAATCTACCTAGTATGACTTTATCTTAATTTATATCATAAACATCTGAAAAGTAGTACTTCCAAATGAGGTCACATTCACTAGTATCAATAGTTAGGGTTTCAACTTCGGAGGATGCAGCTCAACCCAAAACACAGTTAAAAACTTCAGGGGGCTGCTACAAGGCCATTTTTATAATAGTATACACCCTTAGGACAGATTAGAGATCACTCTTCAGCTTTCAACGAAAAAGGCTCAGAACAGTTCAAGACGGAATGAAAGGCCATGTTGAGCAAATGATATAATAATACTGCAAATTTGGGGATTGGGACAAAAAAAAACAACAGCATGTGGCCAATGTAACAAAAAGCAGCTTTGGGGAGAGATGAAAACTAAGCTCTCATGCTTCCTCTGGCTTCTGTCTTAAAGTAGCCATGGGGCACGGAGCTACCAGTAACCTCCAACCACCATCCACAAGGGCATCAGGAGAGGTTGGCTGGCAAGTTGGAGCAGCCCTATGATGCCAACTCCTGCTGGGCCCTGTTCCAAAGCCAGAAGTCTAGAGAGGAAGGGATCCTGTCCTAATTCTAAACAGCAGCCTACATGATGCTTGGCCCCGGCGCCATGGAGAATGCCCACCTCTTGTGGATGATGAAGAACTCAAATTCGTGTTCCACAGTAGGAATACTTGACTGGACCATGTGCTCTTTATAAAGTGTCAGAAAATGTAAGGGAAATTTTCTGTGGGATTTTAGGAGAAATTGGTTTTTATAATAGATGTAAAAAGGCCTGAAGAAGAAAAGGATCAGTTGTGAAGAGCCTCAGAGTGCTAGGAACATTATAGATTATATGTTCCCAGGGGCACTTAAAACTTGAAAACTAATAGAATTCTAACAGCTAACAGGAAACATTAGCTTCTTCACAAAAAAAAAAGAAAAAGAAAAAGAAAACAAAACCAAGGGAATAATGAGTTCTGAGGAGATAAAAAGCATGTTTTTGCCTTTGTCACCCAAAGGTGAGAAATCCACAGAGAGGCAAAAATACTGTCACAGGTTTGGGGTAAAGAGAATAGTACCTCCATTTATACTTTTACTGACAGTTCTGTTTACAAAAGACAGTAACCTATTTGTGAAAAAGCTTTTCTTCAGGGATGTTCAAATCTTTACTGTAGAGGAGAAAGAAAAGCAGCCAGAGCTCTGAGAGGCCCTCAAGCAAAGTTTGAAGCAATTTTGTTTCATGGAAGGAAAAGCTGTTATTTGGGCCTTCCTCAGTTCCATCCAGAGCAGGACAACATAGGCCAGTGCAGTCTGAGTCTCGCCCACAGAATGTGAGTGGGTGGTCCCTGCTTCATGTACGAGATCCCAGGCCCCAAAAATAAAGGGACTCACTCACCCTAGAGTTAGGGATTCGAACCCAAGTAACTAATGGGATGCTTACTATCCTATTATTAGGGGAATTATTAGGGGAATAACTAGGGGAATTATTAGAATATGTCTCATGCTTTTACCAGGGTAACTTTCTGGAGGGCAGCAACCATATTTTATTTACTTTCATAGAGCTGTGCTCGGGAAATGTTAGTGGGCTGAGTGGGTTACTGCTTGGCACTCTGAATAGCATTACTGATGAAATATATATATAAGGTCTAGGGGTGAAACTGCTTGTGTTCAGATCAAGCTGGGCCACTTACCAGCTGGATAACATTGTGTAAGTCCTGGATTTCTTTGGGCCTTCAGTTTCTCATTTGTAGACTGGGAAGGATAGTCCTATTTTCCTGTAGTACCACTCTGAAGCTTAAATGAAGCAATGCATGAGAAACTTGGCCTTCTATCAATATTACTGTGGGACAGTATAGCAGAACACCACAACTCAAGGTTTTCAAACTTCAGCCATGTATTTTTCACTCAGTATTTACAAGTCAATGAAAGTTTAGCTGTTCTAGTCTGGCCTTGACTGGCTTGGGCTGCAAACTGTAGGTTGGATCTAGATCTTCCCTTGTGTCTCATCCTTCTTGAGTCAGTGGCTGCACAAGCGAGGTTCTCCTTGTGGGCGATTGCAGAGGCTCATCCTCATGATGCTCAATGGCCCTGCAGCATCCTATTAACATCCCGTTATGCAAAGCAAATGGTGGAGCTGAACCCAAGTCAAGGAGTAAGGAAGTGCTCGCCGCGGCTCTGCAGCACTGGGAGGATGGGCCTGTGTGATGCAGCTACACAGGAGTGAAGAACCATGATTGATAATGCAGGTTAACACCGACACTTTGCCCTGTGCCCGATGCATAGTAAATGAGCAGTGATGTCAACTCTTTATGAATTGTTACGGAGCCTTTCTAGGTAGACATAATGTCTTCCATCAATAGGAGTGGCACCCATTCACTTACAAAGAATAATGTTTTATTTTCTTATTTTTTTCTCTCCCACAGATTTACTCTGCACCAAGGACAACTTATCAGTCAGTTTCTGTCAGACACTAAAAACCATGAAGAAATGTTCTGTGCCCACCGTGAGAGCTCAGTGCTGCCTCTCGTGTTCCCAGACACGCGTCCATACCCAAAGGCTGAGAAAACTGCCATTGCTCAAGAACCCCAGAGCACGCTGAGACTAGAAGGGAACCCCCCCCCCCCCAGAGACTGCAGCTGCCTGCTGACCAGGCCATGTTCTAGCTCCAGGACCACTTCATCCAGGTTATACTATGTCGAGGTTTTCAAGTCCAACTTTGGGTCATAAAAAACCAAAATCCATTGTGTTCCTTTACCCAAAATCCAAACTGTCTCTCACAGGAGGCCTGGACTATAATACTTGCTGCTCCTGCAAGAAAGGGAAACACTCCAGAAGAATTGGGAATCTCCTGGGATCAGCTTCTGGGAAAGGTGCCAAAGTAGGCCAGTGTGTGACATGATCCCACCCCTAGAATGTGGGTGCCCCCCACCCCTAAAGATAAAAACAAACCAGGTTTTCCCCGGACTACCTCAGGAGATTCAGGAAACAGCCACACATATTCAGGGGACAGGTTATTTTGTTCCTTTATCTTAGAGAAATCATCCTTTTGTTTTTCTTCTCTGCTTAGGGACAGGTCCTGTTTAAAATGTCATGGAAAGCTTTGAGGAATCTTCCTCTAATTCATCCAGGCAGAGGATGTATTCTCCACCCAAGCATTCAGTTGGGGCAGGGAGAGAATGTGCTGGCTACGCCCCTCTGTCTACCCCAAATCCTTGTAGACTCCACCACTGGGCTGTTTAAGCTTCTATGACTGCCTGGAGACACCAGGATAAAAGGGCTGAAGCTACAGGACTGAGTAAATCAAAGGGGTTTTGGTTAGTTATATGGAAGACATTCCTTGATGTCTTGAGGATAATTTCTATGAAATCTCGTAAGCAGATGAAATCAACTCCTTGCTAGTATAAGAAAGGGAATGTGGGCCCTCATTCTTCCCACTTTCCAGACAGATGCCCATTCCTTTGCAGAAGAGCAAATGTATCTTCCTGTCTCATTTTCCCTCTCCAGAATATCTCTGCCTAAGCCATCAACTCAGATTGGACCATCAGTTTCCTGCTGGGGATTAATATACAACTCTGTAGCCAACTCCAGACCTGCCACCAGCTACCACCACCCCTAGACTGGAAAACGGAGCTCTAGATTAAAATACTTCAAAGAACCAGGTATATTTATGAAGCATAAAAACTTAGTACAAACTTCTGATCTTGAGACTAAAACTTAACAAAAATGAGGTCAAGATGACCTACTCCTCAGTGAACCCAATAGTTACTTTTGAGGGTTTATTTCCTTGGGGGCAACTGGTGAGTCAGAGGAGTCCAGAAGAGCTGACACGAAAGCTAGACTGCTAATCCTGGGTGTTCCCGCTACCCATCAGGAGCCCCGGGAGACCACAGGCAGAGCAAAGTTCCTGGTTTCTGAGAGGAGGTACTTTCATGACCTGAAATGAGGGGGAGGGTGGGCAAGCAGGACCTCAAGGAGCAGAAGTCCTCAGAACCAGCCCTGACAGGCAAAGGCAGAGCTGTGGCCTCCAGGTGATGGGCAGCACAGGTTCAGACTCACACACAGGTGCAGTTAATATTCACGTGGGACAAGTGTCCTACATTGCCCTTGAATTATCGATCCGTTCAGCAGAATGGTGCTATTGAAAACGGTGCTCATGGCCAGACGGTGGCAGAACTAATATAAACACACAGATGTGCAGGTGGGCGAGTCCATCTCCATCTTCTGTTAAGTGTGTGATGGTGTTGCTGGCCAATGCCCATTGTATTACATGGATATCAGAAGCTTCAAGTTTTTATATTGTGTGCTTTTTATTTTTTTTTAAACCATCCATATGTCTTATTTTGTAAATTCCTAGGAAAAAAAACAACATTGGGGGTGGGATGAAATTTGAGCTAGACCAGAAACAGGAGGAAAGTAGAAATGTTTACCTAAAGCCAGGGAATTTATTTCTAGATAACGATTACATTCTTACATTCTCTGTCTTTAAATATAAACATTGCTGGCCGATGACAGTATCTGGTGAAACAACAGTTGTAGACAGACGATACTTAAATTGTTAGTGACATAACAGGAGGAGAACCTAATTTTTTCTCATGAGATAATTCACAAAGGCTGTCCCCGAGTGCAGTGTAGACTCTCGGCGGGATTGCATGAGCCAGGTTGAACTTAACGTGGTCCTGTGCTCTCTGGAGTCAGACTTGTCATCAGAGACCTGGAAATGACCAGCAAAACTCAGGAACAAACCCAGATTCCTACTGACCTCAACAACTGAAGTAGACCAGACTTCCGGTACACAAAATGTATCATGTGCTAACCCAAGTGGTGGGGAAGATGGTGAACATGTAAGGAAGGTCCGTCCAGGTACAAAATTCTAGGCCTCTCTCAAATGCACAATATTGGCCCCTAATTGTGTGCCATGGACTTTCACGTCCTGTATTGAGGCTGTGTCATGAGGTGACAGTATGGCTTCTGGCCTTCTGGATCTGCAGATTGAGAGAGCACTTGATGTTGGGGTCACCTGGCACGTTGATTGTTCCCATGACCACCACTCAGCTTTGGGTCACCAGGGACCTGAGACTAACAGGGGACTCCCAAGACAGGAACCAGGTGGTGTCTTCACCATCTCGATGTTCACGGGAGTAGCAGGAGGTAGATTTGTTGGTTTGTTTTATTCATGTTCACCTTTTCTTCCCACCTTGAGCCAACAACTGAGAAATGTAGCATTGAGACACACTGGATTCACATCTATCACGAACCAGGGAAGTCTGCCACGGGGCCTGGTGCTTAAATACATGAAGTTTCTCAAAACCAGTTGGGTTTACATTCCTGTTTGCAGAGGTAGAGTTAGCTCTTCTCTGAACAGTCATTAGTCCTTAAACATGGAAACATAATTAAATAGGCCATAAGAGAATTGTATTTGAAAAGCTAAATATTACACTTTTCCTAAAACGGGGGAATCATTTTTTAATACAAAGAATTGCTTCTTAGGATTGACTAACTTTATAATGGTTTTCTTAAGAAAGGGCACACCTCCACCCACTCTCCTGAGCCACCCTAGGTCTCCAATTGCACCCCAACAGATATTTAGTGACTGCTTTTGATAACTTTCATAAGATTTCTGAAATAAAATTGGAGGGATTTGTTTCAGATCATAATTTCCCATTCAACTGAGTAAAATCTTCCAAACTCTGAAAGCTACACATTCCCACCCCAGAGATTGCAGGTGATAACTCTTCTCCCTTCTGACTTTAAGATGAAGCCCTGGAACTGTTTATCTGGTGCTCAGTGCCTGGCAATTCATTTTTAAGAGCGAGACCACGTGACAAGAACTGCCTGGTGCTACCATTTAGCCAACATATCTGATACTACTCTTGTTTTTATATTGCTAATAACTCTAGTATTGTATTATTACTAAATTGTGTCATTTACAAAACATGGTTGGGGAAGCACAATTCTCCCTGTATCTTCCAAAGTGGGTGTGTGATGTGCATGGCCCAACCCAACACCCTCCCTGCATCTCTGTCCTGCTTTGCCAGGCCCAGCCTCTTTCTGGGGTATTTCATTAGGTACCTCAATGTGTAAAACCAAACTTAATCATAGCCTGGCTTTGTGGGGCATCAATAAACAGCCAAACTCACTGATGTCTCCTTGTGATTCATTTGCCCTGCTGTGAGACCCCCACCACCCGCCTGTTTTACCCTGGAACATGATAGCTTGGAGGATGATGCTATCAATTTCATCTGCCCACAGTCTACTGACCCCCTCCTACTACACCCCTCGATTAGCTTGTCATCAGATGAGTCACATCCCAGGTTGAGGCAGGCTCAGATGTCTTCTCCAACTGAAAAATGTGCAGAAACTGACAAAATCCACCACGTGATAATCTGAAGTGGTGTCTATAACGCTCCACAGTATCGCGTCCAGTGTAATTGGACTTGCAGCTCCCAACATAACCTACTTCCTCGCCTGCACACAGTGAAGAACTAATGCTTTAAGAGGAAGACAGTGCTTAACCCACCTCTAGAGGATTTTGGAAATCAAATCCTTTTTTCAAAGACCATGCACAGTACACTATATATGACCAGCAAAAGTAGAATTTGACATCTGGGCACGTCAAGTGAGCAGAGGCATGCGGTTAAGAAGAGCAGGCCTCTACAGGTGGCCCCTAGAATCCTTTGAGGACTTGAACAGGAGTGGTAGGAAAGCTGGGTAAGTAGAACCTGAGCACCTCTCTGTTTATACCTTAAAAACTTTCTCTAGGACTATCATGTAATTTTTTTCTTGTCCTGAAAGGCTCAGCTCAAATGCTGCTTCCCCCAAAATGTCTAGCACGGATCATACCAAAAAAAGGGATGTACTTTTCTGCTCCTGCTTCACCCCACTCATTTTCTTCTAGAACAGTTGTTTTTAACCAAGGGTGATTTTATCCCACAAGAGATATGTCACAATGCCTGCAGGCATTCTGAGTTGTTACAACGGGGCAGGAGGGAGGGTGCTACTGGTATCTAATGAGAAGAAGCCAAATTCCAAGTTCTGTAAGCAATAAACCTTCATTTTTTGGCAGATTCGATATTTACAGTTTCACCTGTTTGTTAAAATGTAACTTCAAAATCAATGCTAGTGGTGCTCACACGGATAGGCACAGAGTTGTGAAACAGGCAGTCACCCTACAAGCAGGCTCCTCGCTGAGACTGAGTGAAGGAGGAGATACTCTACCTGCTTGCTTCAGTGCTCATACTGTAAATGATTGTCTTTGACATGGTCGGCTCAGTGTCATGCCTTTCACAGTTTAGTGCTTTTTGTTGGTGATTTCACATTTTAAAATGGCCTCCTAGAGTAGTGTTGAAGCACTCTGGTATTCCCAAGCACATGAAGGTAGTGATGTTTGTGTAAAACTGTAAGGAAACAGTGGGTTAGAGTGATCAGCACAGAAGATGACATTATACAGCCACAAGGGTTACAGGTAGATTTACTCCTAGAAATATTTTGACACATTTAGTAAATTGATATTCTAGTTCATGCATCAACTTACTGTGAACTTGGCTAGTGTAAGTCAATTCTTCTAATAAAATTCATTCTCTAAAGCTGACAAAGTGTAGGCCAGACCCTGGACTATAACTGATCCACTTCACACCCCCACTGCAGGATGCGTGAAATGCCCCTCATAATGCCACCTTCTAAGGATCACTCTGGGGAGCTAGCTGATCACCCACTGCAGCACTGGAATTTCTGCCCTCTTTGATCTCATTTACCAATGACTGAGAGGAACTAAATGTTCTAAGATTTTTCAACATTAAACATAGTACCCAACATAGTAAGAATTTTATAACTTTCGTTGAAATCATTGTGCCTTTTGTTCATTCCCAGAGAGAAGTCAGATATTGGAGGTAGAAGCAGCAAACATAGGGGCTGGAGTAATGGAGGGAGCAGGAGGAAAGAATACACAGATCATGCCTGTGGGCTTGAAAGTAGCCTATTTGGGGTGGAGAGGACAGTGTGTGTGTGTGTGTGTGTGTGTGTGTGTGTGTGTGTGTGTGTGTTGGTGTCAAGGACTGAAGCTGAAGTGTGGAATGCCAAATATACTGAAACGCAGGACAGGACAGGAGATGAGGGCACGGCCAGGCTCTCTCACAGTGCGCTGGGTGGGTACATCGTCCAGGTGCTTGCACTAATCCATCTCTCTTCCTGTCTGTGCTAATCCAAGACTTTGTAACCCGGGCAATAGAGGGAGGTAGGTGCTGGTTTTCTCTAAAATGGCTAAGTTTTTCCACCAGGTAAGAAGCTGGTGTGCTCCCTGCTCATTCTGGACCCTGAGAGATGCTTGCTTCAGGTTCACCCCCAGAATGTGGAGGGCCTGAAGTATGAGTGAAATTGAAGTTTCACTGCCAAATGTAATACTTGGCTAACGATAACATGCTCCATCCTGGATCCATGCCACTCCCCACCAAGGATCACCTGGTAACCCACACCCAACAGGGGTCCCTGCAGTCTGGGACTCAGAGTAGTACTGCCCGATCCACTGTGGCTCTGGGGATTTACAACTGTGAGCAGAGACTCTTGACGTGCTCCCACCACCTGCGTACCCCTCCTCCCCCTCCTACCTCCCTAGCAGGGAGTTGTAGGGAGGCCCTGGCCTGTGTTGCTTCACCTGAGCTCAGAAAGCCAGACCCAGCCCATTGCCCCTGCCACCCTCTACCTCCCATGCCCATGGACCCGATCCTGCTACCACCTCTCCCCCGCCCCATCTCCCCCCAACCCTGCAACTGGAGCAGCCATGGGAGGTGAGCCCCTCCCTGCTCTGAGCACCCCCTCCAGGTACCCTCTCTGCAGACCCGCCACCTGGTCCCTCCCTCAGGTGGTCTCATCCCTGGTCCCATCAGACAGGAGCTGATGCGAAGGGCTCCTCTGGTACCGATTTGAACCTTAACTCTGGGCCCCAGACACGTTTCCCCCAAACTGGCTGTGCGTTCTGGGATCTGAATCTCCATGGTATCGCCTCTGCGTGACCCTGCCTGAGGCTTGAGGGAGGCGAGCAGGTGATGCTCAGGGTGGAGCCATGCCCGCCTGACCTCACCATCTGTGGATGAAAATCAGCCAAGTTTAGGAACAAAGGGAATAGCCCCGTGTAGGCTGTGATGAGCAGCTGCTCAGCAGGAATCCACCCCTGAAGCTGGAGCCCCTTCCCCGGCCCCTAGAGACCCACAGTGCCCCCAAATCTGGGCATTTCCTTAGGATGGATTTTCATCTCCAAGTTCTTGCCTTTCTCAAACAGAGATTTCATCTTCCCCAGAGTGAACCCCTCGCCCCCACCCGAGTTCCAGCATCTCTGTCAGGATGTTACGAATCATCACATACCTGAGAAGGGAGCGTGGTTCCTCCCCTGAACTTGCCATCACGTCACCTGTTCTACTGAGAAAACCCTGGGTCCCCCCCAGGCATGGGGGTGGGGAAGGCAGCAGAGAGCCAGGAGCCTTGCCTGCCTGCCTGCTCTCCTCTGTAGCTCCTCAAATTTGGCTACAAAGTTTGCTTTCTCCATACAGGGGTAGGTGGTTTAGGTTTACAGATCCGAGTCAGGGGAGACTGCGGTGAGATCCAACCAGCTGAGAATGTGGCGGCCGTGTGTGCAGCGGTGCCACCCCAGAGACACACGTGAGTGCCAATGAAACAATTTATAGCGTGTGAATAACAAAGCCCATACCACTGGCAACTCGGCGAGGCCCCCTCCCCTGGCCTCCTGGGGGTGCTTACCCCCATACTCCCAGGAGGGAGTAAGTGTGAGAAAGGCACTTGCATGGGAAGGCCAGTTTTCTGGCCCACAGTGTTAAGATTCCCGCTCCCGATCTTGGCCTTCCAACAGCACCCAAGGACAGTTCTTCCAGCTTCTGCTCTTCAAAAGAGTAAGAAGCAAAGAGCTCCCCAAGTAAAAAGCCTCCAGTTCAGATGACTGAAACTGGCCCCAGGCTGCAGATCTTTCAGCCAGGGGCACGCCAGCATATTGAGCCACCAGAGACACTGTGCTGTGAATGGCCCCAACTTCCAGCCAGCCCCCCTCTGCTGGCCACCAGTCACTACCCTTCTGGAGCCTGCCAACAATGGGCATGGAGCTCATGGTGGTCTGAAGGGAGAATCCCAGGACAGGAGTCCCACTGGTGGCTACAGGTAACAGCAGGTCCCCACACACAGCTCACTGTGGTATAAGGAGCAGCGGCTATGCTTGACGATCCAGTGGTGACTGGAGGCAACTGCAGGTCCCCCACACAGCACACAGTGGCGTAAATGATAGGCGCTGGGCCTGGTGGCACAGCCGTGGTTGGTGGGAGAGCCAGGTGCCAGGTACGGCTCATGGAGGTGATATCCTACAGAGCCGACGGGCTGTGTGTCTGTGGGTATTGGCAGCCACACCTGGTCTTTACCATGCCAGGAGGTAAAGCTCCTGGGGTGTGGGTCTGGCAGGAGTTCTGGGCCGGGAGTCTGAGCTGGGACTGGCAGCAGCCCCGTGGAGCAGGTGCTATTCCTGTCCGGGTGCTGGGCATGGGACCCCAGGCCTGCCTGCAAGTCCTGCAGGACCTGCCATGGGTGCCGCAGGGCTGTGGGGACAGTTGCTCGGGAGTATGGTGCCCTGGTGGATTGGGGGCCACTGGCATCCTCTTTGCCACCGAGCCAACAGCCCTCTGAAGATGGAACCAGGTAGGTGAGCAGTTTGGCCAGGGGGTTCCATGGTGACCATAATGGAACCTTGGATGCTGAGGTTTGTAATGGCGCTTATGCCAACTGCCAGTTTTCTGGCTCAGTTAAGGCAGACCTCAGGGAAAGGGAGATAGAGGGCAGGGTGGGGGACTTAGGTGAGCTGGGGCAGGGAAGGCAGGACTCCAAGAGGAGGAAGGGTCCTTGAAATTGAGCCAGGCTGGGGGGGTGCCTGGGTGGGGCCTCACCCACATGCTTATTAGCAAAGGACACAACCCAGAAGCAGGCAGTGTGAAACAATGAAAACAGGATTTGTTTATACAGCGAGACAGGCTGGTACATGGCCCCTGTCCTGTCCTTTGCCATCAAGTATGCCGAGCAGAGACAGGTCCAAACCAAGGCTGTACTTCACCAGCTGGTGTCATCTGCAGATACCCCACCTCACCAGTGGTTTAACTAGCAAAGCTGCTGCTTAAGTGCCTCAAAGCCCAGTGGTTTTAACTACCAAAAGGCCCGTGGTTTTACCTGGATGAAAGTCTCCTTTTTAACGGC